CTAATCTATCCAATCCTTAATGTTATGAGGGCATGCCATAATAAGGTTTTAATTTAATTTCAAATGATTTCATTTGTCATTTTAATACATTTTGACAGTTTATTGTACGTTATTATTGCATTGTAAAATGGATCTTTATTTGTTGCTGCTTTAGAGTTGAACACCCTGTTGTAGTTTTCATGTATACGAATGTTGTATTTATATAGTTAATTATTTTTTGAGATGTTAAGTGTACAATTATTTTTTAATAGAATAATTAACATGAATGAGTACAGTTCTATTACAGTCAGAATTTTATGTTTGCTGTAATAATTCCCACAAGATTTGGTTGGTTTTAATTTGAATAAGCAGCTTAGTGCTCTTTTTTGCAGAATCCATTCATATTTCTGTTTGTTTTTCCTCCCCAAACTTCAATACCATATTCTATATGTTGATATATTATGCCATAATATATACTTAACAGAGATTCAGTGTTCAACAATTGTGAGAAATAACGTAGGAAAAAAATGTTGGAACCCACTCTCATGCATAGTGCGTTGATGTGTTCGTTCAATAATAGGTAATGGTGATTCCTAGAAATGCCCGGAAACAACTGATTTTGATTTGATTCCTAGAAAGTTATGGCACTAAATTCTTTGAATAGCCTTGTTATTCACTTGGATGTTACAAAATCATTAGTATTATTTATGCAATGATGATTAAATAACATAACTTTTGTTTTACCAGCATTTATCTCTTAGATTGTTTTGACTTAGGTAAGTGTATATTTGTGTCATTGTGTCTCTGGATAATGTTTTCTTCCAGGTTTTCTAAGTCTTTGTCACAACAAATAATTGAGGTATCATCTACATAAGATATTAATTTAGAATGTGTCAATACTGGAAAGTCATTAACATACAGTAAAAATAGTAAGGGACCTAGTACTGTACCGTGAGGAACTCCTGAGGTTATCGTCACAAATGTTGATTGTCTTTTATTAATAAAAAATTCTGATTCTCAATATATTTCAGTACATCGCCTATGATTTGTAAAATATGATTTCACAAGATCATTCATTCTTCCATGTATTCCTGCATGTTCTATTTTTTTTAGAAGTATAGAATGTGACATTATATCAAATGCCTTAGAAAGATCAATAAATATTGTTGCTGTATGTTGATTATTTTCAAGGTTTCCTAATATTTCGTTTATAAATTTGTGAGGTGCAGCGGTGAGAGTTGACATGCCTTTTCAAAACCCATGATGTGTGTTAACAATTATGTTATTTGACTCAAGAAAATTACACATCTTCTTAGATAACTTTTTCAAAATATTCGGCAAAACTTGATGTAAATATTATAGGTCAATAATTGTGAACATCATAGATTTCGTAGATTGTTAATAATGGTTGCAAGATTCCTGGTAGAGAGTTGGCTCATCGTTATTCATAATAGTTTCCTTTTTTACGTAATAAATGTGCAAGATAATATTCAGGGGCATTTCCCCTGATTATTATTCCATATTTGAACTATATTGAGTGAACAAAGTAATGCACTTTATGTTCTCTTGAATTTTTAAACTGAAATAGGTAGTTTAATAGGATATTTTTACAGGGTTATTATTTATGACCAAATATTGAGATTTTTCTTTTGTTTTGAGGGTTAATGATACTTAAAGAGATTGTCTTACTAGAGTTTAGTATGAGTTTGGCCTTGAAACTATTTTACAGGCACATGCAATTTGTAGGTTTATTTTCATAATGATTATTGTTTTTGCTTTAATGATTATATTTTTGCATCTGCAAAAAAAAATATTTTATTGCTTATTTTTGTCAAAAATTTTATATAGGAATAGTACACTCCAGGATAAGTCTTTGTGGGACTCAATTTATCATTTTAGGGCAGCAGTAATTCTTCGTTATCTTGTTCTCTTTAATACACTGGAATGCAACTACTTGGCTGTGGTTTGATTAATATGATTTGATCAATTGACCTATGATGCATCAGATTTCTAACATTTCTAGGTTTGTTAACAGTAAATAATATCAAAGAGAAGGAAACTAGTATGTCAGAAAGGAAAGTGTGTCTGTAGATTTGTTCCTGAAGGTGGGTTGTGTATTTGTGAGAATATTATGTGCATTGACAAATTGTTGAAGTCTTTCTAGACGTTCGTGACCTTCTGGGTCCCGAGACATTGGGACAGACACACGACTACAGCAATATGGCACCTGGTAGAGTGTCAGCCAAGAATGGAGGTGAAACAAGGCACAGTCCTAACTAGTAATTTTTGAAAATTCTGGCAGTTGAGATGAAGGTCTATAATTTATTGGATTATAAGTGTAGCCTTTTTAAAGCAATGGCTTAATTTTTGCCCTTTTGAATACTTTTGGGAAGATACCTGTTTTTCAGGTTTGATAATACGAGTCTGTTTGAAAATTTAGGAAATAAAATGTATTTACATCTGTGTTTTAGAGGGTCTTCCCTTTGAGCACAATAAAACAGCAAAGGATTGAAAATAATAATTTTTACCAAGGAATTTCTCAAATTATTCATTATAGTTCATCCACCCAGATAATAGATTGAACAATCATTGACTCTCTCTGCTTTCGTTCTGAGTTTCATTTCTTCTACAAACCCTCACTGTGCTCCTAAACTCTATGTGAATTAACACTTCAAAAGTCTTTCAATAGCCCCAAAGATATCAAAATATTGCCCTTTTATTTTCTTGCATAAATTGTGGAAAGTTATGTAATTACACAAAATCTTTTTTTTTTTTTAATTTCCCTACAGATTCCTACCTCAGCAATTATCCTCATAGGAACAGTGCCTAGGATATTTAGCATCTCTCAGACAGCTCAGAATCTATTCCACATTCTATCTGACTCCAGTCACAGAAGCCTGTATTTTCAATAATCCTGCTATTGATCTGACTCAACTTATGACTCTCCAAATTTAGATGTAATCTTTTGAAAATGGTAAGTGCCACACATAGCCAATTCTGCATTTTCAACATTTCCTCAACAATTTGCATCATCATTAGCAGATAAGGTTTAGGTTTGTGCACCATAGTTTGCATGACCTTTTGAACCAGTATTCTTAGTCCCTAGTGTCGCTGTCTTGCTATGTAGGTTTTTCATGTTCTCAAAAATTGCTTCAAATTTGCCATCAGTGCTATTTCTAACAATGTCAAATACGTTTTTAATTTTTTTTAAACCTCTTATGTATCTTTATTATTTACATATGTATCTCATATGTTCATGAATTCATACACTCCTTACCTTCAAAAGCAGTATTAAGTCTCTCAAAATCCCTTGAATACATACTGGTACTTTAAAAATGATCATAATCGTTTAAAAAAGTGCTCCAGATTATCTCTTGAAATTTCCCATGTACAAAGTTATTGTGCTTTCCTATGAAATTCTGAGTCTTGTTTTCTTCAAAATCTTTGGGCTTTAATAGTTCAAGGTGATTACAAATTCTTGTTTTAATCATTCCCAACATCTTGAATATCAATACACAAGATGAAGACACGCAGACACAATTTTTTTTTTTTTGGTAATAACAAAAGAAAAATCATTTCTAAATTGAAAAAACTTTTTCTACATTTTTTGTGGACTGCCAGGATAACGTCACTTTATGGGCATTGATGCTTATCGATTAGTGTTTCCAGATGTGTCAACTGTTAAGGTTGTTAGTCCCGTAATTTTAGTGCATGTTGTTATCACATGAGGTAGTGATGATCCTCCCTTCCCTGGATGGCAAGATCTGGCATTGAACTAACAATCCAACTGTGGTGTTTCCCCAATTAGGTATCTCCCACCCGCAGGGCACTGCCCCAGCCAGATCAAGCTCTTTTAATACATCTATTTATTTTGTTGTACTTTTTTAATTTTGATTGCGTATCTTCCTCTATTAATGATATCATTCTCCAAGTATGTGAATGTTGACACTTATTCTATTAACTTATTTTCTCTATATTTGTTCTATATTCTTTACCTATCAATCTCATGGACTTTGTCTTTGAAAGTGATATTTTCATTTTATAATCCTTTGTGAGTATATTTAATTTATGAGCTGCTCTTTGAAATTAATCTTCAGATGTTGCTGGTATGACTTGGTCATCTGCTTACAGTATTGTTTTCATTTTCTGGTCCCATTTCACAGTGATGCCTCCTTCTATTTCCTTCTTCCAAGTTTTGGTCAAGTTCTTCACATGTAAGTTAAATAGTATTGGGGATAATGTGCATCCCTGTCTTAGTCCTACGTTTGTGAAATTCTTTTTTAAATTTTGTATATAAGGTATGTATCTTTTTTCTATATTAACCGGGTAATCCTATGATAAACGCTATAATTATGGCCTTGCAGGTGGGAATGCATCACAAACATGAAACATTTATGCAGAAAAATAGGCAGTTACCTTGTTCTTGAACATTTTCTCGGATTCACCAATGTTGAGAGAGAGGGGGGAGGGAGAGCAGAGAGAAAATTATAGAACAGCCTGCTCAATCTGATTTGAATCCATTGAATTTCTGTCTGGGGACATGTCCCTGATTTATCTGATTCCTGTTCTAGATATTGGCATAGAGGTATTCGCATTGGATTTGACCAAATACAGAACACAACAGGCATAGGGCGTGCATTCAAGCAGAAGGAAGCCACTTCAATTTTTTGTAATTTTCAGTATCTTAACGGTAATAAACAATTTTCAAAACCATGTGAATACAAACTTTTTTAATGTTTTGATGTTTACTGGTGTCAAATTCTGTAGGGACACATTTAACACAGCCCCTGTAAATAAAATTTTTGATTAACGATAAGATATGATTATTATAATTTTACAACTGTTAGAGACACTAACAGTTTTACCTTTCTCAGCTCTTAAATGTTCATTCAGGAGTTTTGATTAAATGCAAGTTAAAATTGAAATGTTTACTTTTTTTTATGTTTTGAACACATTGTCTTCCTCCTGTACTTTAAATACAATTCATACAAATTACAAGAAAAGATATTTTGAGAATTTATAAGTTTATTACAAATACATACAACTGAGTATTAGAGAAAACAAATACATAAAGAAAATTGTTTTGCTCTAAGGACAAAAGTTATTTTAACAATAGTACAAGCATCACATTTGTGCACAATGTTTTTAAAGCTCTACTAAATGACCGCTATAATAATACCATAAAATATCATTCACAATAATGAATCTTTATTTTCTACTGGAAAGCTTCATGGGAGAAAATATGAAATAAAACTACTTAGAAGGTAAAAAATACTGTTTTTACAATATCGAATTAGCCACTTTCCTGATGGTTCTAAAAAAATATTTTTTAACCAAGTCGCTTCCGGTTTAGAAGACAAGACTTCCCTTCCAAAAATCATTCTAACAGTTTACTTTACTTACATATACACACACAAACACTTTAGAAAATATTTTCGAGAGAATTTATTATGATATTCACAATTTTAAACAGTTACTAGGCTGTCTCGTTTACTTCCTGTAAATATAATCAAATGTTAAGACATTTAAATTTCTCTTTAAATTAATCCAAGATACACAATTTTACTTATAATAAAGCCAACAAAACCATATAAGATTCAAAATAATATTGGAATTGGCGAGATTAGAGCCTGAAAATTACATACAAAAACAGAAGTAATTTAATTATAATATCAAACATTCTCTGGTGGATTAAAATAGTTCCCTTTGAATCTTTAATGTATCTAATGTGCCATTTCATATACTTGACACTTATTCTGGGAAGCTGCATATCAGCTTTCTTTCTCCTTTGATACTGATGGCTACACAAAAGAAATTCTGAAAATTTTGCAAGCTAAAAGCTATTACATAATTAGTTTTATAGGTATTTAATAATCATAAAATACTTTGTTGCAATAGTTTGGTAGGAACACATTTTGGAATGATGAAGTAATCACATAAGCAAATCATTCCATGTTTGCATTAGACATATCTTCTCTGGCACCTCTATGTTTGCATTGTTCATTTTTAGTAATTGAAAAATAACTTGCATCACACACAATTCTCAAGATATTCAAAAATTACCTCATAAACAACAATACTTGCACTGCAAAATGCTTCAGGCTAAGTGATAGAAGAGTCAATAGTGTCCCTTGCCCACTTTGTGATTTTATTGTGATATATCACTACTTACAAACTTCATTTGTGAAATCGAAAAAAGTTAAAAACATTACATAAGTAATATTCACAGAATTGACAAGGCAACTTTTTAAAATAATCTTAAATTATTAATGAAACCCATTCATCTTTCCAAGTTTTAGATTTTAACATCACAAAAAATAACAAAACATCTTCATTTTCAATGATGAAATGGCCAGAACTTGTTTACAATTATATATTACAACTTAAAGCAACACCCAAAAAATCTTCAAAGCTGATTGATATTATTCCTTTCATTTCTTTATCTCTGGTCCTAAAAGCCTCTGAAAAAATTTAAAGAACACTTCACTTACTAAACTACAATCATTGTTTGCATAATACTTTCAAGTATTTTAAATTTATGTCAATGAAAATGTTAAAATCACTATATTTACCAGTGAATCTCTGAATCTGCACACAAGTCACAATAAATTGATCCACAGACATATACTTATGGTTTTGAGTATCGCTTTTCTCAATTAAAAATTTGACAAACTGAGGTGAAAATCGAAAACCCATTTGATGTAAAGCTGGAAAATCGAAGTAATTAAAAATTATGAAATTGCACTTTCTACATTTGCAACAGAAAGCCAAACACAAAGATCTGCTACCTTGTGAGAGTTCATGTTCCTCAACATTGCCTGAGCCATCCTTGTCATATGAGCGAAATGTGGCCAACCATTGATTAATGTAATTGTATAACATCTGAAACTCTTGCACATCAATAGTTCCACTTTTATCATGGTCAAACATTCCTGAAAAAATTAAAATGCCTTACATATACACTGGAAATAAACATTTTCAACACTGCAATTTTCAAATAAAGTAAAATCTGTAAGCCGGAATCTATAGGGACCAAAAAAAAAATCGGGTTAGCAAGGTTTCCGTTTTATGCAGGGTTATCCCTTTTACGGCACTTTGATATTGATATTTCCATTCTGAAACTAGTAAATTACATGACGTTATTACAATAAACATTAACAAGAAATGTATTTAAGGAAGAAATTGTCAATAAATTAATATTAAACATTCTTTGCTGACATCATCCGAGTTTCTCAACAAGTTGGACAACAACATCTACAATTAGAGTTTATTTTGTTGTTTTTTTCAACCATTGCTAAACTGGCACTGAAACTAATAAAAATACACTCCACCTCACAGCCTAGTGGCTGCAGTTGGACTGTTTCTGACTCTTTCAAAGTACAACTCATCCCAGCCCAGAGTACTATGACTTTCTGACATCCTCACTTGGCCTTCAGGAATATGTCTCTGCCCAGGGGTTATGATTTTCAACACAGGGCAGGGAGACACATATACAAAAGCCACACCCATACACCTCTGCGTGCTCAGAGTTTGGAGGGAAGGAATTCCCCAATGGTCCATGCCATGAGAGACACCCCACCCAAATTCTACGCTAGCAGCTGAAGCCCCTCTCTACTGTGCAGCTGTCATGGCTAAATTATGTCGCAGAGAGAGAGAGAATTTAAAACAAACATGCATTAATTTCATTAAGAATATTTCATGTCTCTCTCTAATTGCATTAAATTCACAAAAATTCTCTTTTATAAATTGTTTTAACCCTGTAGTAAAACGGTTCTGCTTCCACGTACGACAGGTTCTGTTTTATGCTGTGAAAATGTCATTTAACACAAAAACATCAGGGAAACTATACCTCTGGCCCCTTCTAACCAACTTTTCAGCAATTGGAAGACAGAAAAGAACGGAAGATGTACCTTCAGAAAGAACTCCAAAATGTACTGTAACTACTTACACGATTCCAAAATGATCACGTGAATCCAAAAGGTAAGAAAGCAAATTGTAAATACTTTTGTACGAGAAAACTCTTACAATAGTATAATTTACATAATATCATATTATGTAAATAATTAAGTAGTAGCTAATATTGTGTAAATAATAAAAAGCAAAAAATTACCAATCATCAATCGACACGCAGTTTCACTGAAATTTTTGCCATGTCCATTAACAAGTGCAGCTTGCAGCTCTGAGGCACATATTCGACCAGATCTGTCCCTGTCCACTGCAGCAAACCACTGTTGAACCTCTGGGCTGACTCCAGGTGGCGCACCGCCTCCATACCCCATTTGTTGGGGCTGACCACCTCCATAAGATTGTCCTCCTGGGTATCCGGAAGTTGGTTGACCACCCGGGTACCCTACTCCTGGTTGACCACCAGGGTACCCAGAACCGGGCTGTCCACCAGGGTACCCAGACATCTGCTGTCCTCCAGGATATCCGGATCCTGCGCCTCCCGGATATCCTCCATAACTAAGATTCTAAAAAATATATCAATTTATAAGACGAAAAAATAACTATCGATACGGATATCTTTACGACGTTCTCACCTGATACGACATTGACAGCAATTCTTTCCTGGATTCAACGAGAAGAACCACTCAAGTGACTAAACAAAAAACAAACAAAAAATCTCAAAACAACTCAAACGTAGGACTGACTCAGTATCCGAGCAATTACGAGTTACCTTTAAAAAATGTCAAGTTAATACAGTTCAACAGTGCTACTGAAGCTCCCTGCTCGCCGCTTGCGATTGCGATCACGGCCACGGCTTTTTCATGCGAGTTGCGACTTACGTGCCTCTGAAGGTTGCAGAAGACTGGTTGCAGACGAAGAGCAAACTTCCCCACAGCAGCTAATTGTAAGAATTAAATTCTAATAATTTTCTTCCAATCGAAACCTGAAAAGATGACAAAGATACTCCCGCATTATCTAAAAATCTCAAACTTATTGTTAAAATAGACATAGTATTGTCAACATACTTACATTTCCGAATACGTTTGCAATCTGTAAGCAATACATAGTTGGCAGTACTTAGAAGAAAGAACAACATCGAGGGCAAAGGAAAATACAAGTCGGGTGACAACTGGCGATGACCAGCCCAGGACCAGCCGTAACCAGCCCAAGTGGACGGAACAAACATGGCGGTTGATGATGTTTTAGTGGTTGTGTGTTCTGTTTACTAATTGTGCTCAGAATTGGCATTAAATTAATACAATTTGAAATAATTTCAATAATTATAATCAAATTGAAACACGAATTATTGCTTACGATAAGAAAATTACTTTCCAAAAATGGCTGACGATTTGAATGGAAACCTTCATAATTATAAGTTGCAATTGCAGCAGGTTTGTATAGTTCCTTGTAATTGATGTGTATTAATAATAGTAAATGTATATCTTATATACCACAATGTAATAATTTTACATGTCGAAAATTACTTCAGTAGAAGTGTTTTCAGCTTTTAAACGATTATAATATTACAGGTTGAAGCTGCATTGACTACAGATCCAGACAATGAAGAGCTTATGAAACTCAAAACAGATTTAGAAGAAGTTATCGAATTAACTCGCGATCTTATCAAGACTCAACTACTGGAATTGAAGTCGACAGGTAGAGCTCCTGGTAAGTTATATTTTGTATTGTGAAAAGTGGCATGTATTGGGAAGTATGAACAATAAATAGTCTTTTTATTATTGCATTTATAGGTACAAGTGACAGTGATGAAATATCAACTAAATTGCTCCCAGTTGAACAGCCAACAGTTGATGAAAGTGTGAAGAAAGATTGGAAGGTTGGCGAGAAATGTTTGGCCATTTGGAGTGGAGATGGGCAGTATGTACAATATTATGCCATTCCTTTTAAAGTTTAGTTAGGTGTGTTTAAAGTCTTGATGTATTCTTCATGCAAGCTTTGATTTGTAACTGATTCATGAAATGTACATTGAAAATATAAGATCTTAAGCTTATATTGTAAGAAATTAAACCAAAATTTAATGTGATCTTCCTGGGTCAGTAGAAGGTAACATACTTAGGCTTCAAATTAAAGCAAACATAGTTAATTAATTAATATGGAAACTGAATGAAATGACAAAGTAAGTTAGATAATGGTAATAAGAGTATGTAAAACTCATTTCTTTTAAATGCTACCAATGGTATCGAGGTAGAGTTCTGTTGTCTGGTGTAATCTGATGATATTTAGGCTTACTTTTTTTTATCCTTGACAGATAATTTATTTCATTGCTGAAGTTATTAAAAAAGTAATATTTATATTTTGATTGATGTTTTTACTCCATTTCAAAATGACAGATATTATTGAGCAACTATTGTAAGTTTCTTTTGGGCTTCATTATTGCAAGATAATGTACATTAGTTATGGAATGTTATTAGGTTAGAGGCTTTCAATTGTTTGAGTCAACTGGCAAAATACTTGAACTCTGATGGATTTTGATAATTGCTTGAAATTTAGTTTATTTTCAATTCAGGTAAGAATAATGGAGAATGTATTTGGGAGAGATATTTACTGGTAGCATTAAAAAATTAAGAATTACATTGCACAGTAATTTCTAAATTATAATCAGAGCTTGATCATAACTGAAGAATATAAAGACTTGAAGTCTTAAACTAGATGTGGGGAGTTCAAATGCTGTTTCTTCAAATGATGGTTGTTTGCTTGGTTATAAAATTTCATTTGGCTAAATGAAGGATTCTATTTGTGCACCTGTGTTCTAATGCAGGAAAATTGCTTGGAAATTCCTTGTAAGATTCCTATCACCTTTTTGTTTTTTTATGAACTTTAATAATATTCTTATTAATTTACTTTCATTATCAGACCATAGCAAATTTTGAATTTGTTCATTATTTTAAAACTATTGAATATTTGAAGTCCTGCATTGATGTCTAATGGACACAAGTTGTAGTGATTAGAATGTACCAAAACAATTGGAACTTGTGTATAGAGTGCACGATTAGTGAGTATGTTCATCTCTGACAGGCATATTATTATATAATCAATGAAAAATGTTGATTGGAAGAGTCCAGTACATGTTGAGGAAATGTTGGTTGTGGAAGGTAGTATTGTATCTGTCATTTTCTTGGTGTAGCATCACAGTATTCTTAAATGGTTTTTATTTAGTGAAACGTGACAAGACAGTAATATGAACGTAAATATACTTGGCTGAAATAAAAATATGATTGCTTTCCTGACCACATTCACCATCCACCAGATTTATGAAACAAGTTTTACCGAAAAAACTTTTTGTATAAAATGCAATATTGCACTGCACTCACACAAGTAGGTTTTGTGTAAATAACAAAAGACAAAGGCTGGAGCCTCTTTCTGGGCAGTCATAATGAAGCATTAGTTTGGTTGTAAAAGTAATTCTGAATAAAAATGTGAGGTTAAATTTCGTGTGAGGCAAAGGAAATATAAATTGATTTGAAATGTATGGTATGGACATTCCAAGGGAGTTTATTGGAAGCATCTCAGTCATGAGCTTGGAATATGTAATTTTTATTAATTGCTATGCGATTTTTGAATATGCTTTATGATTTTGTAATTTATCCAGAGACACTTGACTCCCTCCCCTCTTTTACTCCAATACCCCTTCACCCCATCCTCCCGATGACTATTCTGTAAGGATGTACTGGACTCTACTTTAACTATGAAACCTTATGTGTATAATCTTGTTCATAACTCATAATAACAAAAAATTGTTTATGTAAGTGATATCATTTTTGTGGACCGTAATTTGAAGTATTTAACTGATATATTTCAATGCAAACCAGGGATGAATTTTCTGGTTACTGTAAGGTTACTGCAAGTTTCGATGGTTTGTAAATTGTGTGCATTTATTGTGATTTTAACCCACAGTAATAATTTCATTAAATTATTCATTTTGGCAATGTGTGACATTGATCTTCATTTAGCCAAATGATTCAAATGTGTTTTGTCAGATTTTTCAATGCGTGACTCGGGTGAAGTGTCCTTACCAATGCATCTGTGGACTTTTGTCCTAGATGACATGAGTCATTGAGTTTGTTGCTCTTCTATGCAGTGCAGAAAGAGTAGAAACTACACAAGCTAAACAGGTATTTGTCAGATGTTACATTTCTTCTATGCACTGACGGTGAGTGTTGCTTTATCTAGTTGTTTGGAATGTTGTCTGATTGCAGATATGAGAAAGTGATGACTACTGGAGTGGACCATAAGTGGGTATAATTTTTAGGGTATGTGGGTGTGCTGCCATGCTGCTCAGTTCTACGAAAAAGCATATGTATATTTACTGTATTCTTTCCTCTATTTTTGCTTTGTTAACTACAGATTATTCACTAGAAGCAGTTGTTTGTGGGACAAGTCACTTGTTTATAAAACAAAAAACGAAAATTTGAGAAGAAACATGTGACTCCCCACCACACAGCTGCTTTAATTTAATTATAGTTCATTGCTTGTGATCACTAGATTAGGCAGTAGCAAAACATTGTTCACTCTTTTTGAGTACACCAACATTCATTGTTTGCAGCTTTTGTTCCTGGTTAGACATTTATGGCATATACTGTCATGTGTCATCAGAATAAAATAATTAAGTATCTTTTGTCTAAATGTTCATTGGAACCGGTCATGAGTAAGGAATCTAAATTTTGTGATGTTTTTTGTAAAGTTTCTTCTCTTTATTTACTTTCAAGTTATTTTTTTTAATTGCAGTTGATGAAAGGAAGAATAAGATTTGTTGCCATAGACTTTAACTTATTGATGGCTTATCATGATCTTCATAGAAGATAAATTGAATCAATTTAACTACAATATGTGGGAATTTACTTTGCATTTTTGCATTGGAAAAAAATTGTATTAAAAGAAACAAACTTCAAGTCATGTTGATATGTTAAGGCCAAAGCAAAAGAATTTTAAGTAGTTTAACAATACCCATATTTTTCATTCTAATAACTTGTTTTGGATATTTGTATTTTGTTTTCTCACTTTTCTACATTTTCTTCAACTTCTTCAGCTTTGTACACTTGTAAATATGATTTATTAAGTAATTTTCAACACTAATTACTAGACGATACGATTTTCAATTTGTATTGAAAATTTAGGTAACATCAGAGAGAGATTAGAAGAATTTATTTCACTCAAATTACATTTAATTTTGCTTTTAAAGATGCTTATCTTGGAATATGACTTATAATTTCAATTCTAGCATTTGTTACTGAAAAATATGGATTAAATCTCCAGTATGTGCTTTATATTGGTTCTTTAATATTATGCTGGTCATTTAGTTACACAGATTCTTCCAACAAAGTTTGCAAAGCTTTATGTATTTTATTTTTTCATCTAACATATTTAGCTCATCTTTCTTGATGCACTGGCTATTAATAACAATATTTCATTGGATTATTATTAAATCAAAAAAACAAAAATTAACTCCATGTAGTTGGAAGGGGCAAAGAATAAATCTATTGCTTATAACTGCACTCAACAAACGTAGGAGGCAGTTGACCCCCACATACCGAGTGGACTGTTTGTGTACCCAATGTCACTTTTTTCTTGAATATGTTTCATGATGAATTAATAATTGCAGTCATTTTAAGGGGTTTTACGTGTACTAACTAAAAATAAGCATTGAGGTGCATTTGAACCCCATTTGGAGTTCTGTGTTGCTATTTTTCATTCTTCATGAATTATTATGAACATTATACTTCTTGGATTGGCATACTGATCTTTTGATTGAAATGAAAGTAGTATTATTGAAACACCTTCAAATTCCCTGTTACGCATGTGAATTATCACATCAGTCTATATCAGTACTAGTGTGTGAATATTCCTAGTTTTTTGCATTCCAAAAGACAAGGTCAAGGTAACATTAGAAAGATAAAAAGTTGTAAAAAAAAAAGAAATTTTATATTGGACCTCTGGCAAGAACTTATCAAATCTTTGTTTGAAGCGAGACTGAATAAACTAGGGATTGACTGAAAAAACAACATGGACTTCAATGAAGTGCTTGCTTGAGGAAGTGGCGGGCTCTGTACATCATGCATGGTCTTTTTCAGACCAAGTTGAAAGGTGCTAAATCTTAAAAATGGTATTTTGAGAAAGTGTTTTGGTCTCCTAAAGGAGAATCATACTTACAAAGTTAATCAATTCTAATACATTTCTCTTTTGTTATATATTGGCTGGTCAAAACAGTCAAAATGTTCATAAGCGTGTTAGTTATTTCCTATTTGAAAGCAATCTTACATAATATTTGGGAGGGTACACGAGTACCCTGCTTGGTATTCAGCATTCCATTTAGAATTTGGGGTGTGGAGGGTTAATAAACCTCATTTGATTCAATGATAGTTATATTTCTATTTGTGTCTTGTGGAGACTTCTTGCCCTGGCCTAGCAGGATTTTCTTGAATATTAGTTAGAAATTGTGTTGATCACTTATATGTATCAATTTATTGGAGTTGTTTTCAACAGACAATATTCCTTTGCCACTTTGAGAAAAATTAAAGTTTTTTTCCTGAATCTTCTTTTGTATGAATATTGTGTGTTGTGTGTGTGTGTATTATATATATATTATTTGGAAGCAACATTGTTTATTTGTTATTTTATTGATACTTGAATTGTTACTGAAGAAAGATCTATGTCAGCCCTATAACAATTTGGTAATACAATGAGTGTTTTTTGCCAAATTTTACTATGATGGGAGATCAGGGATCCAGTAACCAGAAAACTTAGATGTGAGAACTTAAAGTTCATTTGTAACTGGCCTTAAAATGTCAATCATGGAGATGCTGCTTTGTGTTTTCATTTAATTCCTCATCGCAGTTCTTATTTATGTTTAAATTAATTATTTTTAGATATTATGAAGCAACAATAGAAGACATAACAGAGGATGGAGAGGAGGTGTCTGTTGTTTTTGACAATTACAACAATTCAGACGTCACCACTTTGTCCTTATTGAAGGAATTGAAGGCCGGGGTGAAGAGGCCTGTGGAGGATGGCCCTGACAGCAAAACAAAGTGAGTCTTTACACGCTGAGGGAAATTGCATGAATGCAATGAAAACTCTAATGAAAAAATATAGCAAAATTAAAATGGAAATCAGCATGGGTATTGGGCAGCATAACAATAATGCTTTACAGTTGCGCATACCAATGATTGGGAGATCTATGATTTGATTCCAGCAAAAATTTGCATGTTTGTAATGTCTGCCAGATTTAGATTCCTAAACCAACTGCTCTGATCAGTGGTTTCCCCAATTGCTTCCAGGCATGTGCCAGAGCAGTCTGGTCTTGTACTTCTCATTCCGAGACCACTTTAGTTCAGGCAGTATACAACCATAAACAATAAAAAAAATGGAACTTTGATTTAAAGTTGCAATTTTTTTTCCCCAATCAAATATCATCTTGTATAACATACTTTTGTTCCATCGGAAATATAAAATAAACAATTGACCAGGTTGCTCTGAAATTGCTTGGCTGTTTGGTGTTACTGGCAGTACAATTAGTTTGGGTTACATCACTGAAAATCTCCAGGGTTGGGTTTATTAATTCCAGCTAATGACGTATTTAATGGTATTAAATATGTCACATTAAATTTCAATTTTCAACTTTATACAAAATACTTATAAAACTATCTTCTGAGGATGAAACTTCCAGTGTGCAAGCCTGTTTAATCACATACATATTATTATTTATTTTAATAAAATAATATAAATAAATTATATTAAATGAATGGTTTTGATATTTGTGTTATTCTGTTTCATTTCACAGAAAGCAAGCCTTGTCAAAGCAAAGAGAATACCAAAAGAAAAAGAAACAGAAGAAATTGCAACGCTACAAACAAATGGAAGAAGAACGTGAAGGTGAAAAGAATAAGTGGCTGGCATTTCACTCGAAGGTAATTGTTCTTTTCTTTTGAGGCATGAAATCTCCATAAGTCATACATTTATAGTTGACAAAAGATTTAACTAGACAAAAAAGGATGACAAAGACTACTGCCTGAAAACTAGTAGTATCATTTTTATTTTATTTTAATTAATTGACCCTAAAGTCAGATATTATTTATATCTAAACAATCTTGTGGTAAATATTTTTAGTGTTATGGTCTGATTTATAAATATTAACACAAGTATCCGTAGTTATTGAGAGACAAATAAAATTGAAATTATTAGAGAGGAAAGTTCATTTATCCTTAAAGGGCATTGAATGAGATGTAACACATTTCACAGATATATTGTATGCATCAGGTGTAAAAAATTCAAATAGTTTCAAAACAGCTATGATGAAGTTACTCTTCAAAAAGGCAACAAAAATGGAAATCAAAAATTATCAGCCAATTTCGCTTTTGTGAGTTTAAAAAAAAATAGAGACTTGTTATGAATGATTGGAAACCTTTCTCAGTAAATATGAAGAATTTTTGGATTGCCAACTCAGATTAAGAAAATCGAAATCTATAGAAGGAGCCATATTTTTGTTTCTTAAAAATGTCTTCATTTTCATAGTGAAACTGAGTTGCACAAGGTCATCAGTAAGGTCCCCTTTGCTTGTCCGCTACCTCCACCTCAGGGGATACTCCTTCAATTATTACTTTTGGCTGACAGTATTTTTTCCAAGCTGACTAGCATTGTAATTTGTGGATCTGAGACTATATGTTTAAATCTAAGTATAATTCGTCTTCTGTCTGGTTTTACGTCTGCGATATTAAATGAAAAAGAGTGGTAGGAAAAGGCAACCCCTGTTAATATCAAATAAAATAAAAATTTTAAAAGTTGTTATGGGAAGTAGCAATAAAAAGGTAGATATTGCTTAAAAAAACAGGAAAATGATAGTATGAAAATATTGAGTTTTTGTTTTGTTTGTAATACTCAATTTTATTTATGCATTTTTCTCACATATACATTCTTTCCCTTCAGTCCCCTGAAAAACGTATAAGTGAAGTTTTAATGTACTGTACTATAATGAAGAGACATTATTTACACACCTTTTCGATTCATTGCCAATTGTGCTTCGGATCCTGCAGGGTTCGACTGTAGGTCCTATTCTCTTCTTACACAAATAAACGATATGACAATGGCTATTCACAGTGGAAGAAAAGTTCTCTATGCTGATATTTAAATTGAATATTCTTTGCAATATACAAACAGTAAATGAAAGAAAACCGACTTCAGTGTAGTTTTCATTAAAAAAAATCTTCTGATTGCTGGATTGTACTATCGTTTGGTAAATTTGCATGGTTAAGAAAGTTAGGAAGATTATCAGTCAATTATTAGCTTATTATCTTCACTCGTTTGACCTGCTTTTAGAATTTACTCTATTGGTTCAAATTGTTTCTTTTCGACCGTTTGAGGGAAGGCCATAGTTATGGTATCAGATGCACACACTATATGTAATTTATTATATGACGTGAGTGATTAGCCTGTCTCAAAGCTATGTACTTGTGATAATTTGATGTCCCATTGTGAAACAAAATATGGGTCATCTTGATGTGGGTCATGTACTTCACACTCGGAGTCTCTGTTCTCAGAATGCTTTCTCAAAGAAGCTGTGCCATCCTTTTCAGGGTGAGATGGGAGCAAACATAGATGATTAAAAATCAAATATGAAATGTAAGACATAGAACAAAAAACAAAAACTACTGCATATATAAAATATGTATAAATGGGAAAGATTTACCAAGGCATGGTAAAATATAAAAGATTCAACAGAGTACCAAAATTTGGTAAATAGAAAACAACTTGATTGTACTGTATTTTGGAACAGGAGAAGCAGCTGTGTGTAAAAGCAGCAGGAGGCAATTGTTGAGAAGGCACAGAATAACAAAGTAGTTATTGAAATTTCAAGCAGAAAGCCATGAAATCATAGGTAAAAAGTAAAAGGAATTAATAGAGGTGGAAGGAGAAAAATAGACATAAATCAGCCAGATTTACATTTTATCTGCAACATTTACACAAACATGGTTTACAAAAATTACACAAACTGGATTAGGAAAATGTTGCCCTAACATCTTCGTATTTATCATTGGTTTCGTAATTTTGCATACATCTCTGTGTGTTTTGGGTACAATTTGAAAAAGGAAAGTTGTCATTATTTAATGGTTATAAAACAGTTTACAATACATGCCATTAATAGCCATTTCTTAATGTCTTCTATAAAAATTGTATTGTGACTTTTTAAATGTGCTAGAAAAGGGACTCCCCTGAATATATTCTACTTAGTCTCTATGGACAGATACATAAAGATTCATTGATATGTTTGCAGGTATATAAATTTATTGAATTACAGGAATGTTTGCAAATCTGTACAAACATATCAAGTGATCTATGTTATCTACAAATCAATACACATGCATTTATATGATAATGGTTTAAAGTTTAATCAGAGGGTAATTATGCTTTCTTTTTTACAGGCATTCAAGAAAGGAATGACCAAGAAAAGTATATTTGCATCCCCAGATAATGTTAATGGACGTGTGGGCATTGGTACATGTGGAATGAGTGGAAAACCAATGACAGAATTCACAACCGCAGAGAAATGGCGTAGAGGAATGTGAAATTATTGTCTGAATATGACAGTTGTATTTATCTTGTACAGTGATTTCACTTTCAAATTGAAATGTGTAATTCAGAAAAAGTCTAGAACATTATGTTGTGGCTTTTGCCATATTCAACAATGTGTGTGAATTGATATAATGATCATGAAAACAAACTAGCAATGTACATTTAAAATGGACAAATCCTGGACACTAATGTTAAGTATGTTGTGGTTTGTAAATTCAGTGAGCACATACAGGCTGTATAAACCTGGTCCATATACATTTGTGTAACAAACTTATTTGTTTATTAAGAGTACAAAACAACTGACAAAATTAAAATTATTATTCAGAAAATTCTACACAGTGCAAGGAAGAGTTGTTAATAAATGGTATACTGTATTAAGAATATTTTAGAGAAAACTATATGCATAAGCGGCTGATCAGAATTCAATGCAACCTTGGAATTGTGACATATTATCTTGTTGGTAATGCACATACTTTTGTTTCATAATGAACAAAGGGGTTTTTTCTCTACATGTTCTATTAAGAACATTACTATGTTTGAACCAAATGTTTTATTTTGACTTGCGTTTCTGAAATTTACAGTTGGTCAGATTGTTTGCTGTTTTTAGGTACAAGCTGTGTGATTGGTTTTTTCACTGTATTTGTCAGTTTGATGTTTATGAGTACGTGTATGAGTTACTACAATTAGAAAAAGAAAAGATTTTTGATGTACACAAATAGATGGAACATTACACTTACATATTATAATTCCTATTCAGAAAAGAACATGAACTTACATCATATGATGCAACTTAAAAACATTTGTGGACCATTTCTATGATGCATTAACATTTAATTTATGCAAGTCTGTGTGACCTTTCGAACTATGAAAGTTCTTTTGGTCAAGACACTATGGTTGCAGCGTGCTCCTGAATTGCGCAAGTTTATAATTTTATCTTTTGGAAGTATTAAGAATTTATTTGGAGAGCTTGCTGTGTGGTAAAATATCAATACAGAAAATAGCTGTTGAGTTATATTTCTTACTTCGTTATTTGTTCTAAAGCTCATTCAATGTTCAGATTGATTTGATCATGACAAAAATTGTTTTGTCAATAGATCAGCCCTACTAGTTCATTTTTCTCAGTGATATTCAAGTAAAGTGATAGTGAGTGCGGGTGTGAAAGGATATCCAGCATAGACTGGATCCTATTAAATAACAGCATTTCTTGAAAGACTTTGATTGTATAAAATTTTAATATATGTATATTATTTAATGCATCTGTACAGTTTGTATTGAATATTGAGGTCATAAACACAAATTACTACAGAATATATGAACCTTATTTTACAAATTAAGCTTACAATTGGTATCACTTATCATAAGTAATACCACAAGTGCTTTGAAAATTGTTGATAAGTCCCCGACTTTCGATGCAAGGAGGGGAATTTATCTAGGAACTTCCAAAGCCTGAGTGGTATTTAATATTCCATGAATGAAATCGCTTCCAACAGGTTTCTGTAATGTGCCAAATATTGAAAATAATTGAAAGGGGTGGATTGCTCTGGGTTGATGGAATCTGCATTCTTTCTATCTACTGTTAGATAATAGACAAATTGAATTGATTAATCATCATCCTTCGAAGTGGCAGAGACATTTATTTCAATTGAAATCTCACTTTGCACAGAATTGCCACTAATTCTACACAAGCTCCCCTTGTGTCCGGAAAAACGATAGTCTTTGAATGATGAACAGGATCGTACAAGGTCATGATCGGAGTTGCCTCGCTTTTGAGAAATGCATGCCTACTGAGGTTTGCTGCTTGGGTGTTGTGCGCCGGCCAGTGCTTCGGTGAGGATTGGAGGGAGCGCCCGCCAGGAAGGGACGCTGTCTTGCGTCATGTGGGCGTGGGTGCTGGCGCCGGTCCCCGCCTCGAAGTGTGTGTGTCTCTCGTGGCGATGTCGGTGGAGATTAACCCTTAGTTACTGGCGCATGTTTTGTCACACAAGTACCCGCACGGCGTACTTCGTGCGCCGAACTTACTTTGTCAGAAAAATGAACTTGGCAAGGCCAGAATATTTGGAAATATAATTTGTATTTAGTTTTATTTGAAAGGTTTAATTATTACTTGTATTAAATAACACATCTAGCATATTAGTCTTGAGAACAATTTTTGCTTTTGATGACTTTAAGAATATGTTCGTTGCATGCAAATTTGTTGCGCCAGTTAGTAGTAATAATTATAGTAGTGCGGTTGTTAGTTCTTCCGCAAATGTGACTGTGATTTCTTAATTTTGTGGTTATTCTCGATCACTTTTTCTAGTTTTTGTAAATTTATTGACAAGCGGTGTTTTATTCCACATTGTCATCTTGTCTTTGCCAATGAAAACATCACTTCACTCTAAATCGCTGATTGAATAATTACTCGCAAAATCAAGTTTAGAACACGTGCCATGTTCACTCTTGGCCACTACAACTTCTTCCTTGTTATCACTTGTTAGATTTCAAATTTCGTCTTCTGACGATTCCTTATGTAATAATTCACATATCTGCTTTTCCGATAAATTATTCGTCTGTTGTTCCTGAAATAAATTAGTTTAATATAATTTTGTTTAAATCCTCTGATAATTAAAAGTAAATGTTAATTCCATTGGTGCCCGCGCGGCGTAGAATGTAAGCCAACCAAACGGAAATACAAGTACAATCGTCTAGCCAATGCAGTAAATCTTACGTAACTGAGTATCGAGGAGGATGCAGTTTGAATTTCTTTTACGAGCTTGGGTCAAATGTCAGATCGCGCGCTGCTCTGCGAATCGCTATATGACACCTACGGCGATAGTGGCGTTCCAGTGGCGCACAAAGTACGCCAGCGCGATTAACAAAGGGTCGAAGGCCGTCACATGCCACCTTTCCACATCAAGCTGCACGTCATAGTACTAGAAGGCACACCTTTGCAGGTGCTTTTCAGACGATTATTTGCTACGTCCGCGAAACGGAATAAATTCCTAGAGATGTCGACAAGTTGATCAGTTAATTTTGGCTGGCAGATACGGTTTAGCTGTATTTTGAGTGAATATGCTCACGGTGGAACGAATTTTCTGAAGTGCCTTGAAGTTGCGTGTCAGCGGAGGAAGCCTTTCTGTGTGTCGACCAGTTGATGTTAAGAGCCCCTTTTTGATTTTCGTCTCACGCGCAGCTCTTTCGCCCTCAGTCCTTTCGGATTCGTCATTGCCCGATCAGGTGCGTACAGCTGTCTGACTATTGGTTATGTGCGCATTTTCTGGAAAATACTATCGATGGGAGGTTATTTGTTGGTTGTGAGCAATCCCTACTCATATGGCCTATTTCTTTGAAGGTTTTAATTAGGTGCTATAGTTTGTTCTCCGTTATCGAGGGGAGGGTCGGAGGAAAAATGTTTGCTGCGTGTTACCACTGTGGATTGGTGATTGTGCTTCCTGAGGGATTAGGGAGGCACGGAACTATTGAACTATGTTCATCTGGCGCTTCACGACGCCGGAAAGGTAAGTCGCACAGAACAGCTGTCGGGTTGGGCGACAGGCTTTAACGGATGTCACTGCAGTCCTTCTGACCAGGAGGTCCTAGGTTGGAGTCCCGACTGTGGCAGGATTTTCGACACTAGCTTGTCAGCTAGGTCGAATTCAGTCGCTCCCTGGAGGTGAATTCTAGCGGCCGGCGGCTCTGATCGGTAGATTTCCGTTGTTTCTCTTCTTTCGTTCCTCTCCCTTGTCCTAACCTGACCCTTTACTCACATGCACTACACTACTGCACAGACCGGTCGGGAGCTTAGAGCTTGTCCCGGCTGGGATAGTGCCCTGCTGGTGGGAGGTACCTGGTAGGGAAAACCCCGGTAGGTCGGCTCCGTTAAGCAGGGAAGACCACCGCCATACCGAGCAAAAACATGCACTATACCTACGGGACTTATGACCCGTAGTTGACGCGCCCGGAATCCCTAACAATCAATCAACGAAGGAGAGTGCCCTGGGGAGGTCTCGATTTTCTTTGTAGCACGCGGGGTTGGCATTGACACCGTGGCGAATACTTGGTTTAGCCCGTCGGCCAGTCAGGGCCATGTGCCTGGCTAATGGTGACGGGGCCGGGACGCCTACTGCTCGGGGTAGGCGTGACAGCGAATTATCGCGCGGGCTCACTGTAGTGCACAGCGCGTTACATTGCATTGCCCCACGTAAATAAGTTTTTAAAAAATTATCACATACGTTTTTTAAATCTAAACTGAATTGTCGAACTACGCTTAAAAAGACAAATAAGTGCAAGCAGGACAAAAGCAATATCTAAAAAAGTAAGAGGAACAATGTTGACAAGGTGATCACGACATGAAACAACTCTAACATAAAGAAAACAGCTAACAGACAAGTAAATGTTGACACATTAGGTAACTAATGGGAAAACGCGATAAAAATTGCGAGCTAAACCAAATGACTTTCTAAACTAACATGACAATAAAGTTAAAATTAATTGTAAGCAAAAGGCAATGAACACTGACAAAAGAGCAAGTAAAAAATAAAACTGCACAACAATGATTTATTCGTAGATTGATGCTTGTTTAATGGTCTGACTTTTAAGCCAAACAAATTTATGCATATTAAATTCACAAGATCTAGAAAAAACATAGAGTCCACATACAAGATTCAATCTGTTACACTGGAAAATATATCTTCCATTCGTGATCAGGGTGTAAATTTTTACAGTGGAATGTCATTTCTGAATCACCTCAATTACATTATAACTAAATCAAACAGAGATCTCTCTTCTTGTTCAGTAACTTTGCTTCAGAGTGCATGCTATCAATATTAGAACTACAAATGTTTTTAAACTAATATGCTCAGAACCTCATATACCAACAAAAAACATATAAATAGAACTTGAACCTTAGTCAGCACTCATAACATTGATATTTTCCAACTATAGTAAGTGACATTCAGAAATCATTGTAAACGAGAAATGTTTGAATTTGCATGATTTCAATATTTCATTTACTTATATATACTCCACCAACTGCTTTTCTACACATATTAACACTTGTATGAACTTTCTACTACGTGTCATTGCAACTAGTTTTGCTAGAATAAAACTCAGCACGGTCTATTTTTTTAAATAAAATAAATGTTCAATTTGGTAGATCGATACAAAATTAGTGTAAAAGTACTTGAGTATTTTTTACAATTAATTTAAGTGTCGACCAAAAGTAAAAATTTGCATTTTAAAAATTAAAATATATTTTAAATATTCAATAATAAATTCCTAAAAATTATTTTTACATCACATGAAAGTACATCTTTTAAGTTAAATGCAAGTGTAATGTTATTTTTCTGAAGAAAACGGTATTTGCACATTACAAATTAAACAAAACCTCTTTTATTTAACATAGCTTTCAGTTATTTTCAACATTTAGCGTGTTTTGGAACTCTGTTGGACATAATTTCTCTTGTGGAATCGTTCTATTAAATACCACTTCTGCTTTGGAAATTCTCAAATAAATCCTTTCCTTGCCTTTCACCACTGAGGTTCCGGGTTCGATTCCTGTAGAATCCCCGTAGAACCTCAAGTGAAATTTGTTACGACAAAACGAGTTTGTCTGCTTCACAGGGGCTAGTCCAACTTCTGTGAAGCGTCCTAAATCCCTTACCCCTAACCTTATTCCTTCCCAATTCTAGGCGATGGGTAGATGACGCAGGGCGCGTGCGAGACGCGAGCGCGAATGTGCTACCTGTCGGCGATTCCCTGCCTTGACTATGACTGACATGACTTGACAACACAGCGGCCCATAGAGGGCGCTTATTAACGGAAGATTAATCCAGTGCGCTCAACGCTCCTGACGGAGTTCGGAGACGCGTTACGTCGATGTAGACGCAACAAATTTTAAAAAATCGCCTCCTCGCTTTGCCAGACGAGAATTTATCCACAGTTTCCAAAGCGCTCGTGGTATTACCTGTGAAAATGAGCGGAAAATTGATTATTTTCAGAAACAATCAACCAACATGTTCTCAGAAATGCCTCCAAATTTGTAATTGAAAATTTGTATATAGGTCCAGAATTTACTCTGTAATATTCTTAGTATAATTTCAGTTTCACCATTAAGGGACAGAAAAATTGAGAAAATGTGGAAAAAATGTTTCTAGACGGCAATAGATGACATATGGGAAGAGAGTGGAGCAAACCCGAAAAGCTAACTAAAAAAATACAAATCACACACACACAAACATAATGGCGGACGTACCGTTCGCTTCTCCTACCCTACCGCAACTGCGATTTCCCCTCTCTTCGAGAAGCAGGCTTGGAGGCGACGGGAAGGAGAGACTGGATGATCGCAGCTATCGCACAGCCGTCACTCACCATCACTGCCCTCATCGTCAGAAGGGGAACTCTCACCGCCAGGAGTGTCCAAAGAAATGAATTCATCAATGTATTTGTGCACAACATTATCGTATTACTGAAACCCTTCTTCAAGACACTGCCTCTTTTCTGATGATAATTTGGACAACCCCTACTGTAGAAACTCGTAAGCTGCGTTTCGTCTGAGCCTTCTCACTCATCAGTTTGTTATCGTCAAACTCGCAGCGTTAAATTGCCGCGCGAGCCACGAGAGAGAGGGAGGGAAAGAGAGGAAGAGGGAGAGAGGCAGAGAGAGGTATATAGAGAGTGAGGGGGCAGAGAGAGATAGGGAGAGAGAGAGAGAAAGAAAAAAGAAAAGCCACGTTTGGATATGCGCAGTGCAAGGTTTTATTGACTCTCGCAGAGCTATAGTACGAGAAAGTCTGTGCCATTTGTAGCGCCATTAGTTCCTTCCTTGTATGCTGCTAGAGTTAATAGTACTGACATTTCTTTAATTTTATTAAATTGGTATAATTCATTCCATTTATTGTATAATGGGTGACCCGAGAAACGACGGGTTTCTTCAGTTTATTTCGTCCTTACATCTCGGATCAATTAAATTTCCCGCGAGAGTGTTGCATATTGTTTGCAGAAAGGACACCAGAAACGCGATTATTGCCAATCTATCTTCCTTACGGAAAAGTGCGAATTATTGATAATATATTTTTTCTGCCTTTAATTATAACTTATATTAATGTAGTGTATTTAATATGTTTTTATTATATTTGCATTAAAATATTTCGTAGTAGAAAAGAAGAAATTTATTTTCATGTTGGTGTAATGTACGATTGAGATGTTGGTACAATCGTTGCCCACCATTCATGGCGTAACACCCTCGTGTCACACGATATTGCCCCAGCGTTCTAGCCTGGTTCTAGCCAAACAATACTGTTTGGTACTACCTGTCTTTGGAATTTCTTGTGAACTTTAATTTTCGTAGGCTGCTCTATTTAATTGAAGTGAGTGATTGCATAATAGATTTGTTGAGTATAATACTTCTTTTATTTATTGCATGTTAGAATTTTCATGCGATAGCTTTATTGCTACCGTCCAGAAGTGCAGAAGCCGCCTATCTTGCAGCGAAAGTCTCTATGTCCCCTCGCAACAAAGTTAAATTCAATATGACAAATTCAGTAATCCATTATCAATTGAGTATGGAAAAACGCAACATTGTTATAACTTAATGTTGCAGTTATGATGGGTAAAAAATAAATTAAAACAAACAAACTTAACTCCACTAAAATTAAAATCAATGGTGACTGGTTATAGTAAATGGAAAAGAAAATGAACCAATCTATTGTTGTAAGTGAAGTTCACTGCTGCATTGAACAAAATCACTATAGTGTCATAAAGATATTATCACTTTAAGCACTGATTATGAATTTGTTGACATTTGAGATCATTTTATAAAAAAATCTATTACTGAAATACCTATAATTTTAGACAATATAAAATGACATGATAATAGTATTCAGGAAAATAGTATTACATTATATGCAATGGATCTTGAATAAAGTTGTTTTAGCTCATCAAACGTTCATTCAATATTATCTCTTTAAGTTTTGAGCAAAGCATGTCAACAAAAGTAATTGAAGACTGAATGAAATGCTCTTTCAATGAGATATTTTACTAGTTGCCTGATGGCATGTACTGTCGGGGATAGAGCTAGCAATTGATGTACTACATTTGTGAAATCTTGACATGCCTGTTGAAAAACTCTGTTGTATGGGTCTTCTACCTGAAGTCTCGTATTTTGCAAATACTGGAAATGGATGGAAATTTGAATCAGGGAGGGGTGACATTTTAAAAGTATCAAGCCTATTTTATATGCATCATGCGATATGGCAACGTACCATTTTTGTTTTTCTTTTTTTTTCTCCATGGGTATTAATTTGTGGAACAATACCAATATTTGGTTTTAATTTGTAAATTTATGTATTTATTGAAACCAGAGATTTGGTAAACGTTGGCTGGCTTGGAACTACAGTGGTCTATGAAACATTTTGGCTAAAATCCAAGTTAAGGAAAATTTGATCTGAACAAGTGGGCATCTACACATTTTTAAGTGGTCTATGTGACACATGTCGTAGGTGCCGCATTATAAAAGTACCACTTTAATATTGGCAGATGGTTTTAATGTTTGTCAATTCTTAAGGTCACATTGTGATTTGTACCATAGACATCTTTAGTTCCAGGCTAGCCAGTTAAGGATGCAATGTCTGTATTTTATCTCTTGATTGTGCTAACATTGTGTAATAATTTTTTGTTATTATTTATGCAGAATGACTGGTAGTGTATGCAGCGTGGCTGTGGACACTTCTGATCTCTTAGTTCAGTGTTTTTGTGGCTGTAGTCATTGTTGTTTGGGAACTGAGATTCAACAAAGTGTACCTGTTCGTCAGGAATTAAAGGAAGCTCGGCCTCTCAAACACAAGCATAAGTCACAGCATCAGCTTGTGTCATGCTCCCAAGAATCTCAACAAAAAACAAACCCTTGCTTTGAGGATTTTGAGAAATCATTTGGATCAAGAAAAGACAGGTTTGTTTTAGTAAAATAAAATTAAGTGTGTTCATAGGAAATTGTTATGATTTAATTGAACATGTTTACTGTTAAAAATTTTATTCATAACTGATTTTACCTACTGAAGACCACATAGAATATGACTTCTTTTATCCTTAAGCATTTTTTCATCTATTTACTAAATTGCTGTCTTTATTTGTTCTTATCGCACCTGCCCTCCTTTCTTTCTCCTTTAATGCCTTGACTTTATGGACTTATGCTTTCTGTTTTCTATCTTGTAATTTGTTACTTTCTTTATAACTGCTTTGACTGTGTTCTAGGTAATGTGTGTTGTAATGGAGGGTTATTGGTCATAATGGCATAATTGTTTTCTTCAATTTTTATAATACAAAATGTGAATTAATTTATTTTGAATATGTAGTAAATGGTCCCTATTATTTTTTTGACGTTAGGAACATCTATTGGAAAAACACACACCCATACTCACACCAAATCTTTTTCTGTTTTGCGTTCTATTGTTATCAACTTTTTATTTCCAATTTTTATTGTGTTGCAAAAAATTGGTGACAAGATTTTGACAGAAACAAATGTTTTGAGTTTGCCTGTCTATATATTGAAATAAGACAGCATTTTTTTAACAAAATTGTAATAAATAATTACCTTCAATTAACTGTCTTGCTGTTTTCACAATTATGGATTCTTGAATTTTCTGATATTGTATTTCTGTACCATGCTCTCAGAATTGGTATTTTAATGTTTTCCACAAGTTGTGCGAACTTTTGAACTGTATTTTCTGCAGTGAAATCATTACATTGAAAAAATATCTTATCTTCATAATTGTAATTGTAGGAAGATGCTGAAATTTTTTTGAAGTTTTGCAATTTTTGAAAAATCAGGGTTTTTAATGAATATGATACCTGCACCATTCCCTTAAACCCTTCCTTAAACACTATCCAAAAAAACAACATTTAATAAAAAACAATGAAGCCATTTTTTTGAAAATTTTGGAAATGTCCCAGGGCTTCATGTAAACTACCCCCCAAAATTAAAATATTGGTTTATAATTCAAGGGCATTAGCTAGATCAATTGCGATATATCAATTTTGGAGAAGATCGACTGAAAGGTTTAACCGCTATTGTTGTTCTCAGCCGGACTGACGTTTTACTGGCATTCGATTTTTCGGTATCAAGGGCCCACAAAACACCACAGTGTCAGTGTCAGGATTTGTTTTCTAATTACTGGGTTTATCTTAGTTTTCTTATTGCAGTCCGTTCCCCCCTCAAAAAAATAGTTGAAAAAAAATTATGTACAATTCTTTGAAAAAATGAGTAACTTACATATAATTTTTGCTTGAAATATAGGCAATTTTAATTTTTGTTCACAAAACCAGCTCCAGTTTTTTTCTTTTAATTGTTTCCTCGAATAGAGCAAACAACACTTGGAAAAGCACCCTTGGAAAACAACAACATTGTTGTAGCAACACAAGTTGTATTCTTCTGTCATTAGGATTCTGAAAAATAGAGCAAATGCAAAAAATATCTTTTAGACATGATTAGGTATTAGTTGGGAAGAGGGTAGAGGCAAAACCAAAAAGCTACGCCAGACGAATCAGGTTAGGAAACTTAACTAGCACAAGAAAGTCTGTGCCATTCTGTAACAACACTAGTTTTTTATCACATTCCAGATGTAATCAATACTCACAACTATTGACAGAACAGAAAATGATGCAATTTTAATTCTTTGTTTTTTCTTAAGTTTAAGTAAACTAGTGGTGCTACAGATGGCACAGGCTTTCTCGTACTAGCCAATTTTTTAATTCCTTTGGTCTGGGCTAGCATTTTAGCCTTGCCTTTTGCGAAAACTACTTCAATGTAAAAAAAAAGCACATCACCTTAAGCCATTAACTGGCAATTTAACTTTGTGCCCATAGCCCTCGCTCATTGTCGTTGCATCGTCGTTGTTGGAGCCCACCATGGCTGCGTGTGTTAGCAACTTTTAATACTAATCCATTGTCATGTTTCTAAATTATACTTCTAGAGCGCAAAACGGTGGTTATATGCAATTTCTTTAAATGCACGTGATCTTAATGAAATAACTAATCTTTGAGAACAAATTTCATATTAAGGAAAAATCTCTACCTTCAATTTAGTGATTGTAGGAAGACTTCCAAAAAATTTCAAACTTTTGTAATTTTCGAAAAGTGAGAATTAACAGTTAAAATTGAATTTGTGTCACCTTTATAAATGTATTTCACTTTATTCTTACAAGAAATTTAAAGAAAAAAATTGTAGCAGTTTTTGTAAAAAATTTTGGAAATCACCTAGGGGCTTCTGTAAAGCCCCCAAAATTTATAAAGGTTTTTCAAAACCTCAGAGCTTTGAGTGAGGCCATTTTTTTCTTTCTTTTTCGGCTTAGCCGAAAGTTTGTATGATTTTGGTGTTGTAGTTACGCACGCATTTCGCGTTTTACTGCTATGTGTGGGTTCACGTCAGACCTTAGTCAATAACCAAATCAGCTTTTGTGTTGCACTACGCTCCCAGAATATCCGAGGGGAGAGCTTGTCTTTGTCCTATAGTGAGGACGTGTCGAGCTAATTGTTTTAACGTTGCCGACGCTTTTTTGGTTTGAAAGGCTTGATAGGCCTCGTTAAACGAAAGCCGTCTCAAGCATTGGGTGAAGAACTCGATACCAAGTTCTTCCTCAGTACTTTTAACAGTTTCCGAAACGGAGGGCGTGCTATGAGCCGTAGAACTTCGATCTTTACTAGCTAAGTGTATCCTTGTACGTCTGTGCTGTGGTCCATCACGTTACCGCAGCGAAGTTGGTCACAGGCCGGCAACACGTTTTATAGAGTGCCAAGCGAAGTTCCAAGGGAAGAGGTAAGAGTCGAACTCTTTGCTGTAATTTTCATTGAATTCGCCGTGCCGCTGTGGTCTGTGCCGGCCTGTGGGTTCAAATAATTTCCAACGAAGATTCTCAAAATCTCGAAAGTTTTGAGTGAAAATTAGCTTGAAAATGAGCATTCAGGTATGCTCAAACGACGTTCTCTCTTAAATAGTTCCAAAATTTTCAATGAAAATTTACAAATTGGACAAGATTTTAACCTTATATAATATTCTAAAAGTCATATTTCAATTCTACTATTAGGGGTCCGAAAAATTGAGAAAACGTTAAAAAAACGTCGATTAGGCGCCAGTAGATGGCAGTTGTGAAGATAGTGGGGTAAAACTGAAGAAAAACAAACAAAAAACGTTGACTGAGAATAGAAAACTAACTATAGTACGTCTTCCCCATGCGCTATAAAACCACTAGTTTGATATTTATTTGTAATGGACCACACAGGCGCAATTATTCGTGCAATAGAGGGGGGTTGCCATCACACTGAAGGTGCGACGGTTGTTTCCAGACACCAGGGTGCATGCGCTGAATTTATTTAGGAGGGCGCCAAGCGTATGCCTTACCTGTGATTTGGGCACCAGCGTTGAGACATCATCAGGGGTGGGCACCCTGGGTCGAAGGATTGCATTTGCTTACTGGATATAAATAATTTTTTTTTGTGTGATCACCCGACCAAAATGTCGGGGACGCGTTTATTACAAAAAAAACAACAACTGTCTTTTACATTACTATTCCTTCTTGTGCTATGATCTGGTTATTGACTAAAATGGGCGTGAACACTTACGGAATGGTGTTGATTAAAATTCTGCTACCTCACTCCGAAAGGATTGTCCGAAAGGATGTCCAAATATCGGCCGGCGGCAGCAGATGACCCGAAGTACCATGGAAGTCTCCTATATTCGGCAGGAACATGACGCCTGGCTGAGCTGGAGATCGTCCACGGTCGTCCGCGAAATTGAAGCGTCAGTTTTTTGAGGCGCGGTTCTCAGGTCGTCATACGTCGCTTGGACCGCGTATTATCATTGGCAGCCGAATAATTGTGCTGCATACCCTCTCGTGTAATTTATGGGTGTTACTCTTACTGTCCTAGCCCGGCATCCGGAATAAATTCCGATGCTGGAATAATGGCTGGTAGGACCTGGAGACTAGCGATCGTTTTCGTGTGGCTGTAGTCGCCGTTGAACACGAAGAGCTCTCTTTAATAGTCGACCGCTCGCTCCAACAGTCTTTCTCCAATTCTCTATTTTTCTAGCGCCGTTCGCTCACCCGATTCCCGTCCCCACCCCTGTCGCAAAATGCACTTCCTATCACGTGCTTAGCGCGAAGCTTTCCATAGGCTAGTCTTATACGGAGCTTCGTGATTTATTGTCACGTAGGAATTTCTGGTGGGCTTCTCTCGCCTCTTAATGTGACATTTCCGGTAGACAGTCACCTACTGCTACACACAAAGATGGAAGGGTGCGTTTCGGGGGCGGACGCTTGCTGGGGAATACTGGGTTAGCGGCGCACACGGAGCTGCGCGTGTCGAATTGTGTCAACGGCGCTCTTCGCCTCGAAATATGTTAATAGAGCGTGACGCAAGGGTCGTGCTGTGCGATAGGTCTTTACGACTCATTGCATATTAGACAATGTAAAAATTATTACAATTCCTTTAGGTTCATTTGGCCTATTGAAGAAAACTTGGAAATGGGCTAGGAAGGCGTATTTCAACTTCTCAAAATTTTATTCATAAAGTAGAATCTGTAAACAAAATATTTAATCATATTGAAGTGTACGTTGTATTGAGCAATGCAGATGGTACTAGTGGGTACTAGTAGTGGTGTTTATGAAGGCAGATGTTTTTCTTTTCCGGATGACGAAGACTGGCCCCAACGAAGTTTTTTCTTTACGTTTAAAGAGTTTAAACGACATAATAGAAAGATCGAAGAAACTTGAAGCTTCTGGAACCGACATAAACAAACCTTTTTGCATTTAGCACTAATAGGAATTCCCAATTTACCAGAACATTATACGTTTCCATCATTCGATGGAGCTGCAACCATCGTTGGGGGAGGGGGCCGCCACTGAATAGTGATAATGAGGGTGTATTTCGTGAGAATTAATTTTTCAGGATAGTTTTGCTTCCACTGCGCTTTGTTGTGTTGTATGGGTGATGCGCCACTCTGCGTCGAGATAAATTAGTATTTTTCAATTTTTGAAAGAAAAAAAAAACAAACTATCGCATCATTCTGATTATTAAGAAATTTGGTTTTGTTGAAATGGCTTTGCCAGCTTAAAAAAAATCACTTGACCCTGTAGCAAATCGTCCACCTGGAAGCCGGGCGTGCCGGGCGTTTACGTCTTCTCAATAGATATCCTTGGGTCTATTCAGATCTGCGTTTGAAGTAAATCAGTCTGGGAGCACGGAAGCCATCTCTTTAAACTTCGGAAAAAGTATGATTTCGGGAATCTTCGAAAGTCGGGAACAAGTGAGCAGTAACAGGAAAAAGAGCAGCTGCTACAGGAATGTCCCTACCACAGCAGTACGAAAGACCGAAATAAGATTGAAAAAAGGGAAAGGGGCTCAGCTGAGGGCGGAGGTTTAGAAAATTTACAAGTTATTCTGGACACCTCGGTCAAGAGGGACGGCAGCTTATTGTTAGAGACAGACAGAAACGGTGATGTAGCAGACGATATTACACGGGCAGCAGTCTTTTGGAAATGTGAAATATGAAAATATTGAAACGTTGGTGCACGGACCTAGTAGGCCTATTATTATGCTGCCTGGAATAAAAGGAAGCCTTTTGGAGTATTTCAGAAAATAAACAGATAAAAATGCAGCTAAATGTGGGGGAAAAAAATGGAGATCGAGAAAAGAAAGTTTTCTAGAAGTAGAAAGTCAAACTGCCTTGGGAAAAAAATTGCACTTGGAAGAAGAACTAGTGGTGCTACTGAATGGTACAGACTTTCCCGTATTAGTTTTCTATTTCGTTTGGTCTTGGCTAGCAACTCGGACTACATACCCTTGCCAGCTACCATCTATCGCCCTCCGGAGTACAATTGTTCGAAATTTTCTCAATTTTTTGATTTCCGAATTCTAAGGTGAAAATATTATTTTAAAATAATTAAAGAACAGTAAAACACCGTCTTATATGGCAATTTTCTTTGAAAAATTCGGATCTGTTTTTAAAAAACTGGCGTTTAAGCGCTACTGTAAATTCAAAATTTCAAGCTTTTCGCAGAAAATTTTTGAGTTTTGGAAAAACTTATTTTGAAGTGCTTTTAATAAGGCGGGCGGGCGGGTAGGCAGAGGGATGGGCGGACGGACAGGCGGACGGGCGGAGGGACGGACGGGCGGAAGGACGGACGGACGCACGCACGCACGCACGCAAGCACGCACGCACGCTTTCCCATTATTCGTTTTTTCGGTATCGAGAACCCACAAAACAGGGATTCTGGCAACACCACGTATTAGAGGACCCCCCCCCCCCTCTTAATTTAGCAACTGGATTTATCTACTTTTTCGTTATCAGGGTTCGGCAGTGAATTTTTTCCTCATGGGAATCCGCCGTTTTTTGGCGCAGCTCTACATAAGTTTTCCTATGCTTTGTATATACGTACGTATACGGGAAAGTATAATTTAAGAGAAAAATTTGTTTGGAAGCACAGGAACAAGAGGAATGATTGATAAGTGAAAGTGAAAAAAAGCATCCAATAACCAGATGCATTCGAAGATTAATAACACAGAGGGAAAACTTCTCTATCACTGCAAAGGACAATGATTCCGCTAAAGATTTGAAAGCTAACTTGCTGAAATATTTTCTTTAAAGTGCTATTGTTATAAGTGATATTCAATTGATATTTCAATATATGCAAGTTAAATGATCTTTCGCAAGTGGGGAAAAATTTTTAGTAAACGTAATTTAATTTCTACTCATTTCTATTTTCTGATCATTATTCAGATTATTTTTATATTTCTATTTTCAGATCATAGATTCAAAAAGTTTTGTTATAATTACAATAATTTGCTGTTTAAAATTTGGTTTTGGGAGAGAAATTACTATTAAAACGAGAATTATTATGTCTGTTTGTTTAATACTATGAAAATCTTGTATGTGGATTTTCCAAGATGTCTAAAGTAATGCAGTATAAAATGCTAAATATTTTTTTTTTTTTACACATTATGAGGCTTCAAGGGGATAGACGTGAGAACTACAAAGTAACACAATATTTGTTGAAAGATTTTTAAACAGTTCATTGTGAAGTGTAAATATTATTAAATATATCATAAATTTTGTGCCATGTGTGTTGCAGTGCTCCTAGATCTTTTACATTAAAAAGAAAATATTTCAAATGTGATTTGTGTAAAAGTGAATTTACTCGGAAGCAGTCACTAACTGTACATTTGCAAAAGCACATGTGCCAGCAACGTCAGGAAAATGTTGACACTTCTAATAGGTAAGTAGTAAAAGTACAGCTATTGTACTATATCTTCATTATGCATTTTAGAAGGAAATGAGAAATCTAAACATTACTAATCGGTTTGTTAACAGTTTTCGAAACCAAACTAACATAATAATATTTTAGCAATGGATAATAATAACAACTTTTACTTCAATGACTTCAAGATTAGGTTAACCTCTTAATTCTTGGTAGTGAGAAATCAATTTTTTTAAATACATTTCTTAAGGTACAGATTCTCATTTCATTTCTTTAGTAATTTTAACATACAGATAAGGTCCAAACACGTTATTGACAATCACATTATTGACCTGATTTTGCTTTTGTAAACTACATATGATTATATTGCATTATGTAATTATGTAATGTAATCATATTAAGTGTATAAAAACAAAAACAGGTCAATAAGATGATTGCCAATAAAGTTTTTGGACCTTACCTGTACTTAAAAATTACTAAAGAAATCAAATGACCCAATAATTTGAAATGAGGAAATCCAGTTGCATATAAATGTTTCCTTTTGTGATTTCAAAAGAACAGTTGCATCCTTTGCAAAATATGCTCTTTCTTGGCTTAAAATGGGCTATTCTGCTATATTTTATTACTGCACAGAAATATTTCTTTGAAATGGCAAATTAAGTTTATTTTTATCTTGACTTCAGTTACTAATATATTGTTTTCTTTGAGAGACTTCATTATTTAATATTTTTTTGTGCACAAAGTAATAGTGTTTTAGTTGTAGGTCCGTGGCAGTACCTTACAATAATTTAAAAGCAGCACACAGTGAAGCTTTGTGCCATCAAGGACATTTGAATGATGTTAGAACAATAAAACAGTCTTCGTGTAATGTGTGTGCAATGGTGTTGAGTAAACCAAGTTCTCTAGCCACACATAGATCTGTAAGTTATTCAAATAATTTGTTGCATGTAAGATTAAAGAGATCATTTAAAAAATGAATGAGTACAGCAGGTGAAAGAATAACTTTATAGAACAAATTCATAGGGCAGGGGAAATTTAGGAATGTGAATTTTAAAAAATTGTATTCATTCTCAAAATCGAATGCTGGAATTCTCCTTGGTGTAAAGCACCAAGAGCAATAATTACAGTTTATTTAGAATACGATTTCATATTCAGGCATTTCTGTGAAATGTGTGTTATCCGGGCCTTAGCATATAACCAGACTGTAAACTATGTGATGATGCCATCAAGAAAACTTTGACTTCATTAAGCTTTCGGACGTTCTTGTGTAATTAATATTGAAGAACATCTGAGAAGCTTAATGAAGTCAAAGTTTTCTTGATATGCCACATAACATTCGAAGGAAATACAAATTAACATGGGGTATATAGGGAATATGTTCAATTTTTGTTTGATGAGTGCACTCTTAGCAAAAGAGAGGTATAAGAAGCTTCATAATAACTTCATATACAGTTTTGTTTTATTTTGCCTCTATCACTGAGCATGCCTGTGTACAGGTGCACTCAGGAGAATGCAACCACATGTGCAGCATATGTGGAAAATGCTTTGCCACCCATGCCAGTCTACAATCTCATGCTGTGAGCCACAGGAGCCTCAAGGCCTTTGTGTGTGCACTGTGCGGGGCTGCATTTTCTAAGAAAGACAGCCTCACTACTCACTTGAGGAAGCATACTGGGGAGCGTCCATTTACTTGTGACATCTGTGGAGCAGCTTTCAACAGGCGATTCACTCTCAAAAATCACCGGTGTGCAGTAACTTTGTATTTTGTATGCTTGGAAGTTGCCTACCATTAGAATTGATATTGTCTGGAGTCTTATCATTGATGATTTTAGTATTTTCCTTTTGTTTTGTCTTCATATTTTCTGGGTAACACGTTTCAAACAAATCACTTTTGTTAATATTGGATGTGGTGCTGTTTTTTTACCATATTTTTTCTTAATGATCACACTTTTTCCTTTGTAGTCATTAGGGTTTTCCAGTTGATTAGCTGGTCAGTTGCTTATGTACCTTTAACACAGTTTTCCAGTTCCTGACAAATGACATACATATGAGTAGACAGCAGACATTTTGGCCAGTCTGTACTCAATGTACCACTTTCCTTGGGTTTAGTAAATGATTGAAGCTTTTCATATTCTAGAAATGAGAGAGAATTTGAGAATGACAATTTGAAGGATTGAGAATTTACTTTATTGCAAAGCAAAGAAAGGGAGCTAGGTGAAAGTGGAGAGTGGAATATTTTGAGTTTTGAGAAAAATAGTAATGCACAACTGTGAGAGATGGCATGCTTGTGGGAAATAGTTCATTGTACAGTATCTTTCTTCAGAGCTACTTAATTAAAATGTTCAGCATCAACTGTGATGTGTGATATATTTTTCTCCTATCTGTTTTTAATTTTTCACTATTAGTCAATACTCTTAAAGAAGAGGAGATACTGGTGGTCAGCTCATGGACTTGTTTATTTAGACATCAACCAAACAAAAGCAAGAGGATTAAAACAAATACAACTTAGGAATGTACATGCATTAAGTTGTGTTGGTATAGATTTAGAAAATCTCACACAAGAAAATGAAGAAAATCAATGATACCAAGTAGTGAACAGAGACATGGTTTGGCTGTTAAGGAAACCCAGATGTGTGACCAAAGTACTGACTCAATAATATACTCTGAAGGGGCTAAACATTTAAATTTGGTCCTGATCATTGTGGTTAAGTTCATTAATGCATTATTTATGCAAAATATAGGAATGCAGTACAATGCAAAGTAAGAAATGTGCAAATTGTGAAAGTGAGTAATGCTGAAGCTTGAAGGTGTGACAGCTCCAAAGATAATCTGTATATCATGCACTGGAGTATCACCTTTGGAGGTGAGATAGTAGTAGATACCTTACCCTTTTGTGTCCAGATTATTAGAAAGTTGGCCAGAACTCCTGAGATCAAAGATCTGGAAACTGAAGTATATTCATTATGGCCAAACATTAATAGTGAAACTTAGTAACTTTACGAAATCAATTGAGGACCTTGAATCTGAATCAAAATATGTCAAGAAAATGCAACTCAATGAAATTCAGAATGATCTTGTTGAGGTTAAACAAAAATGCAGAATAATGAACATGCCACAACTAAAATAAACAAATAAGAGATTGCTTTTCAGGAAGAATTTATTACAGAAATCAATCCTGTACTTACAAATTGTCAAAATATCATATCTGAAATTGGAGAAAGACTGAAAATGGTTTTACTGTAACATCCAAACATGATATTATTAGTGCTCTAAAGTGAGCAAACATATTAACGATTAGAATTTCAGCTAAAAATTACGTAACGCCAAGAACACATCTTCAAAATTTCAGGGAAGAATATTCTGGTGAGCAGAATTTGACTATAAAGTCTTTTAGAGGTAAACCAAACGTCTTTAAAATGTGGACTGACTAGCCACCCGTGAATGTAGAAAATCTGAGCTCTCGCAATGTTTATTATACAAACATTGGATTCTTGCTGCCAAATCACCGGGACTTTTTACAAGAAGTTAATAAATTTTAATGAGGAATAATTATAGTATTGCAGAATCCTGCCTGCAAGCAGATATTAATGTCAGATATTAGCAGTCAGAAAAATGTATGGTTACTGTAGATATGTTCTGGAAATCCATATTGGAGAGGGGAACAGAAGTAATCTTCAACAAAAACTTATTGGTTTTTACAAAATCACATTGGAGATTTCCAGTCTGTACACATCTAAGGAGAAAACATGATTCAGGATCTTTTTCCTTGTTGTCTTGAAGGTTGATTTAGGGAGCACTGGCAGTAACAAAGCCTTAAGCAAAATATCTACTGAAATATTTGAGTTCTATACAACTTAGTTTGAGTAGGAATTTTCTGTTAATTTATGTCTTATATTTCATTGTTTAAAAATATGTTTTTATTTCTCACAATTTAATGCATTACCCTTATTTTGAGGTTTGTGTAATGAAGTGTACATTTGGCTTTAAAATAAATCAAAGATTTTATTAATATGTTTTCTGGTTCAAAAGCTATACAACTTTTGTTTCTTGGTATGCAAGAACATTTGAATCTCAGAAAAAATCCTCTACAGTTTAGAGATTCCAAATTCTAAGGGCTCAAATATAGACGGGTACTTGTGCAGTAGAGCCGAAAATAGAAGCATGAACAAATATAAAAGAAATGTATTTTTAAAATGCTAAGATATATTTTTTTTTTTTTGTTTCTATTTGTAAGAAGTTCGAGGAGTAGATTAGAACCTTATTGGAGTGGGATTTAACTGGCTATTAAAGCATGTAATTGACTGAATCTTTTTAAGTACTGATATTTTGATATTTACTAAATGTTAACACTTTTGTTAATTGTATGAAGCAAATTGAGTTTAAATGTAGATATATTGTTATAAAGAATATATATAACATACCTACATGGGTGTGATAAACAATTTACCTGTTGATCTCATATTACATTGATTGATACATGCATTTTGAAAAATTTACAAATGTAATATTATAAACTGAAAATAAAATTTCTAATTATGACTTCACTTGTTCACTTTCAGTTGAAGTTTTATTGTTTTGCTAAAGATTATTCAAAAACAGAACTTACTATTGTTTTTCATTAATCATGTGGCATTGACTTTTCCAGAGCCCTACACTCAAGTGAACGGCCACATGTTTGTGCTGCATGTGGCAAAGCATTTTTGACTCGCGCAGCGCTCGCTGCTCATGAGCGCACTTCACACACAGGAACACAACCTTTGTCATACACTCCTCGGAAGCGCCCTCAGGACTGCCAGTCTGTTGTATGTGACCAGTGTGGTAAGGTGGGTGTCAAGTGAAATACTATTCTTAATCCCAAGTTAGGCTATCCTACTGTCAAAGATGTGAACAAATTTAGTTATATATTTTGTTCGTATTTTAATTCATGTCTAGCGAATACTTGGAAAATATTCTACAGAGATTAGGACAAAAATAATCCTCTCTTTTGATACAGTTGGCATAAAGAAGGTCATAAAAAAATGCAAATTTAATGGAATTAAATTACATTAGTTTTATTTTCTCATGTGCTAGAGTATAATTGTTTCGCAAAAGTTGAGCAAATAGCAAAAACAACAAAAATTGGTGTTGAGATTTCGATTGAAATGCATGTTTTTGAGGCCTGATACTGATTAGTTGGATTAGTCGGATTGACGTCTGCTTTGCACCATTGACTTTTTCGCCAAAAGTTGTACTTACATACGTGATTTCAGAAAAAGACTACGAAAATAGGGTTTTTCCCATTTTCCCGAAAGTAATAGTCGGATTTTTTGCCCGAAATTTGGGATTTGGGCTTGTTTTGGACTTGTATTCGGGCTTCATTTCATATTAAGCGTATAATTTCGAAACAAATAGTCGGATTGACGTCTGGTTTGCACCATTGAATTTCTCGTCCAGAGTTGTACTTACATACGTGATTTCAGAAAGAAATTATGAAGTTAATTTTTCTCCCAATTTAGCCTCAATTTCGTGATTTGGGCTTCATTTGATTTCAAGCGTATAATTTGGAAACTAATTGTCGGATTGACGTTTAGTTTGCACCATTGAATTTATCGTCGAGAGTTGTACTTACATACGTTATTTCAGATAGATACTATGAAACTAGATTTTCCCCCATTTTTTGCCACATTTTCGGGATTTGGGCTTCATATGATATCCAGCGTTTAATTTTGAAACTAGTAGTTGGATTAACGTCTGGTTTGCACCATTGCATTTCTCGTCGAGAGTTGTACTTACGTGATTTTAGATAGATAGTACGAAATTAGGTTTTTCCCCATTTTTTGCCGCAATTTGGGGATAGTGGCTTTATTTGTTTTGAAGCGCATAATTTCGAAACTAATTGTAGTATTGACATCTGGTTTGCACCATTGAATTTCCCGTCCAGAGTTGTACATACATACGTGATATCAGAAAGATATTACGATAATAGGTTTTTTTCCCATTTTTTGCTGGAAATTTAAGATTTGGGCTTATTTTGATTACAAGCCGTTAATTTCGAAAGTAATAGTCGGATTGACGTCTGGTTTGCACCATTGAATATACCGTCCAAAGGTGTACATACATCCGTGATTTCAGAGTAAAATTATGAAATTCAGTTTTTTACCGATTTTTGCCCTGATTTCGGGATTTGCGTTTCATTTGACATCAAGCGCATAATTTCGAAAATTATTATCGGATTGACGTTTGGTTTGCCCCATTGAATTTCTCGTTGAAAGTTGTACTTACTTACATGATTTCAGATAGATACTACGAAAATAGGTTTTTTCTAATTTTTTGCCCGAATTTCGGGATTTGGGCTTGTTTTGATTTCAAGCGTTTAATTTCGAAAGTAATAGTCGGATTGACGTTTAGTTTGCACCATTGAATTTCTTGTCGAGAGTTGTACATACATACGTGATTTCAGATAGATACTATGAAATTAGGTTTTTCCCCATCTTTTGCCACATTTTCGGGATTTGGGTTCATATGATATCAAGCGTTTAATTTTGAAACTAGTAGTCGGATTAACGTCTGGTTTGCACCATTGAATTTCTCGTCGAGAGTTGTACTTACATACGTTATTTTAGATAGATAGTACGAAATTAGGTTTTTTGCTGCAATTTGGGGATAATGCTTTATTTTTGTTTTGAAGCGTATAATTTCGAAACTAATAGTCGGATTGATGTCTGGTTTGCACCATTGAATTTCCCGTCCAGAGTTGTACATACATACGTGATTTCAGAAAGAAATTATGAAATTCAGTTTCTTACCAATTTTTGCCCTAATTTCGGGATTTGGGCATCATTTGATTTAAAGCGGTAAATTTCGAACCTAATAGTCGGATTGACGTCCGGTTTGCGCCATTGAATTTCTCGTCCAGAGTTGTACTTACATACGTGATTTCAGAAAGAAATTATGAAATTAATTTTTTTCCCAATTTAGCCCCAATTTCGTGATTTGGGCTTCATTTGATTTCAAGGTTATAATTTGGTAACTAATAGTCGGATTGACGTCTGCTTTGCACGATTGGAATTCTCGTTAAGAGTTGTACTTACATACGTGATTTCAGATCGAAACTACGCAATTGGGTTCTTTCCCATTTTTTGCCACATTTACCGGATTTGGGCTTCATTTGATATTAAGCCTATAAAATCGAATGTAATAGTCGCATAGACGTCTGGTTTGCACCAATGAATTTCTCGTCCAGAGTTGTACTTACATACGTGATTTCAGAAAGAAATTATGAATTTCTTTTTTCAATTTCGTGATTTGGCCTAATTTGATTTCAAGCGTATAATTTGGAAACTAATAGTCGGATTGACGTCTGGTTTGCACCATTGAATTTCCCGTCCAGAGTTGTACATACATACGCGATTTCAGAATGAAATTTTGAAATTCAGTTTTTTAGCAATTTTTGCCCTGATTTCGGGATTTGCGTTTCATTTGACATCAAGCGCATAATTTCGAAACTTATTGTCGGATTGACGTTTGGTTTGCCCCATTGAATTTCTCGTCGAGAGTTGTACTTACATACGTGCTTTCAGATAGATACTACGAAATTCGGTTTTTTCCAATTTTTTGCCATATTTTCGGGATTTAGGCTTCATTTAATATCAAGCGTTTAATTTTAAAACTAATAGTCGGATATACGTCTTGTTTGCACGATTGAATTTCTCGTTCAGAGTTGTATTTACGTGATTTCAGATAGATACTACGAAAATAGGTTGTTTCTAATTTTTTGCCCGAATTTCGGGATTTGGGCTTGTTTTGATTTCAAGCGGTTAATTTCGAAAGTAATAGTCGGATTGACGTCTGGTTTGCACCATTTAATTTCTCGTCTAGAGTGGTAGTCACATACCTGATATTAGAAAGAAATAACGAAATTAAGATTTTTCTAATTTTTGCTCCGATTTCGGGATTTGGGTATTATTTGATATCAAGCGCTTAATTTCGAAATTAATTGTCCGATTGATTTTTAGTTTGCACCATTGAATTTCTTGTCGAGAGTTGTACTTACATACGTGATTTCAGATAGATACTATGAAATTAGGTTTTTCCCCATTTTTTGCCACATTTTTGTTATTTGTGCTTCAATTCACATTAATCGTATAATTTTGAAAAAAATAGTCGGATTGACGTCTGGTTTGCACCAATGAATTTCTCGTCCAGAGTGGTACTTACATACGTGATTTCAGAACGAAACTACGAAATTAGGTACTTTCCCATTTTTTGCCACATTTACCGGATTTGGGCTTCATTTCATATCAAGCGTATAAAATGGAATGTAATAGTCGGATAGACGTGTGGTTTGCACCAATGAATTTCTCGTCCAGAGTTGTACTTACAAACGTGATTTCGGAAAGAAATTATGAAATTAAGTTTTTTTCCTAATTTTTGCCCTAATTTCGGGATTTGGGCTTTATTTGATTTAAAGCGGTAAATTTCGAAACAAATAGTCGGATTGACGTCTGGTTTGCACCAATGAATTTCTCGTCCAGAGTGGTACTTACATACGTGATTTCAGAAAGAAATTATGAAATACTTTTTTCCCCCAATTTAGCCCTAATTTCGTGATTTGGGCTTCATTTGATTTCAAGCGGTTAATTTCGAAAGTAATAGTCGGATTGACGTCTGGTTTGCACCATTGAATTTCTCGTCTAGAGTGGTAGTCACATACCTGATATTAGAAAGAAATTACGAAATTAAGATTTTTCTAATTTTTGCTCCGATTTCGGGATTTGGGTATCATTTGATATCAAGCGCTTAATTTCGAAACTAATTGTCGGATTGATTTTTAGTTTGCACCATTGAATTTATTGTCGAGAGTTGTACTTACGTGATTTTCAGATAGATACTATGAAATTAGGTTTTTCCCCATTTTTTGCCACATTTTGGGGATTTGCGGTTCATATGATATCAAGCGTTTAATTTTAAAACTAGTAGTCGGATTAACGTCTGGTTTGCACCATTGAATTTCTCGTCGCGAGTTGTACTTACATACGTGATTTTAGATAGATACTACGAAATTAGTTTTTTTCTCCCATTTTTTGCCGCAGTTTGGGAATAAAGGCTTTATTTGTTTTGAAGAGTATAATTTCGAAACTAATAGTCGGATTGAGGTCTGGTTTTCACCATTGAATTTCCCGTCCAGAGTTGTACATACGTACGTGATTTTGGAATGAAATTATGAAATTAAGTTTTTTCCCAATTTTTGCCCTAATTTCGGGATTTGGGTTTGTTTTGATTTCAAGTGTTTAATTTCGAAAGTATTAGTCGGATTGACGTCTGGTTTGCACCATTGAATTTCTTGTCGAGAGTTGTACTTACATACGTGATTTCAGAAAGAAATTACGAAAATAGGTTTTTCCCCATTTTTTTTTCCGAAATTCGGGATTTGGCCTCGTTTTGATTTCTAGAGTATAATTTCGAAAGTATAGACGGATTGACGTCTCGATTGCACCATTGAACTTCTCGTCCAGAGTTGTAGTTACATTTCTGTTATCAGAATGAAATTATGAAATTAATATTTTTCTCATTTTGTGCCCCGATTTCGGGATTTTGGTTTCATTTGATTTCAAGCGCATAATTTCCAAACTAATTGTCGGATTGAAGTTTAGTTTGCGCCATTGAATTTCTCGTCGATAGTTGTACTTACGTGATTTCAGAGAGATACTACGAAATTTGTTTTTTTCCATTTTTTTGCCGCAATTTGGGGATAATTTCTTCATTTGTTTTCATGCGGATAATTTCGAAACTAATAGTCGAATTGAGGTCTGGTATTCAGCATTGAATTTCTCGTTCAGAGTTGTACATACGTACGTGATTTCAGAAAGACATTTCGAAAATAGGTTTTCCCCCATTTTTTTCCCGAATTTCGGGATTTGCGCTTGTTTTGATTTCAAGCGTTTACATTCGAATGTAATAGTCCGATTGAGGTCTGGTTTCAACATTGAGTTTTTTGGTCCAGAGTAGTCACATACCTGATAAAGAAAGAAATTACGAAATTAAGATTTTTCTAATTTTTGCCCCGATTTCGGGATTTGGGTATCATTTGATATCAAGCGCTTAATTTCGAAATTAATTGTCGGATTGACGTTTAGTTTGCACCTTTGAATTTCTTGTTGAGTGTTGTACTTACATACGTGATTTCAGATAGATACAAGGAAATTAGGTTTTTTCCCATCTTTTGCCACATTTTTCGGGATTTGGGCATCATATGGAATTAATTTTTTTTAAAATTTTTCACCAAAATTGTTGAAATTTTACCCAGTTTTTTCTTGCGTATTTCCGAAACTAATAGGCGAATTGAAGTCTGGTTTTTTACTATTTAATTACTGTTCGAGTATTGTTTCCCCACACCTAATTTCAGAAGGAAGCGAAGAAATTAGTTTTTTTCAAATTTTTCACTAAATTTCTCTATTTTTACTTAATTTTTTTTCACGCGTTTACCCGAAATAATAGGCAGATTAAAGTCGGGATTGCAGCATTGAATTTCTCGTCGAGAGTTGTACTCACACACGTGTTTTGAGAAGGAGGCGATGAAATTGTTTTTAAGTTGGTCACCAAATTGTTCAATTTTTACCCAGTTTTGTTTCTTGCGTATTTCCGAAACTAATAGGCGAATTGAAGTTCGGTTTCACCATTGAATTTTTCGTCGAGAATTGTACCCGCATACCTAATTTCAGAAGGAAGCGAAGAAATTAGTTTTTTTTTTAAATTTTTACTAAATTTCTCAATTTTTACTTAATTTTTTTTCATGCGTACTTCCAAAACTAATAGGCAGATTGAAGTGTGACGTAGTGAAATAAGAAATAAATTTGAATAACAAAATAAAAATAATATATTCAAAGATTATGTACAAGTTACAATGAATTGCTAATATTAAAACACTCCGGCAACCTTTTCCTTTCGGAACACTGCTTTACCGTAGAAAATACAAGCCACGCGTGATGCGCGCCGTCGGACCTCTGTCCCGTAACAATTACCGTCACATGGCCTGACGCCAAAAGTTAACCCGGTCGTGGCGACCGTGTGCCTACAGCACGTGAGATTGTCTGGCCCTTACTCTCCGGACATCTCGCCCTCACTCCTACACCCTCCTTGTACATACACGTACAAGCTACCCGATGCAAACTGAATGAGAGCGCGGGCGCAGATGGCGCCGCGTTAAATAGTTGAGGCTGACACCCCCACCACTGTTCCATAGATAGGCCCGCCGGCTGGCGCGAGACTCGCTGGCCAGCCTTGGTTTACGCCCCCACACTGGATTCTCAGGGTTGGCTCGCCTGCTTCCGGTTGAGGCACGCTAGCTAGCCTCCTCGGAGTTTACAGCCAACGGTATTTTTGTGGCTCTGCGGCTCTACATGAGTCAACCGCCAGAGCGCAAACTCCGGATGTTCAGGCTTAACCCCTTCCTCCCCCGCAGCGTACTTTCACCAACCTAACGGTTCTGGCCCTCGTGTTAACGACGCCACAGAAGTGTAGTTTGCACCATTGGATTTCTCGTCGAGTGTTTTACTCACATGTGATTTCAAATGGAAGGGATAATTTTTTTTTTTTCAAATTTTTCACTCATTTTTCTCAATTTTTTCTCAGTTTTGTTTCACGCGTATTTCCGAAACTAATAAGCGGATAGAAGTCTGGTGTTAGTAATCATAGAGCATTTTGATATTTATGTTGGTAATACTGTAAAACTGATCCAACAGCGCCATCTGTGGCGAGTGTCTTCTGTTCCGAGTTCAGATTGAGCTCAGTCGTGAAGTACGTTTCAATGTAAGAACATCTAGCAATAAAGATCAATATATTAAGCAAAAGGCAGTTTGAAATTAATTTCAAGACATCATCATCAACATCTGGTTTGCGCTATTTATTTTCTCGTCAATATCGACTTAGTTTTCCGATTTTCGACATGTCGCGGATTTTTCTAATAACAACGGACCCTGCACTAAATAAAGTGGTAAATTCACTGGTGATACCCATTTTTCGATTAGAAGCTTAGTTTTTCAGAAAATCGCAAAAGTATCGTCATAAACGTCACTTTCTTCAAAATATCATGGTAGAAAAATTCCATTTCAAGCAGGTTATGGTTAAAGGAGAAACTCCATTTAAGTTAAAGAGTAAGGTACATACAATTTCATGTGCAACTTTTAGCTTTGTAGCTTAAATAGTTTAGGAGGTAGATCCATTATAAAATGACTATTATTTTCAGGGATTGCAAGATGCGAAAATACTAGGCTTTCAATTTAAGGATTCTAGAGGCCACATTATCATTCGTTTGTGACAAATGACATTTTCTAAAACTATAAGAATTTAAAAACACATTCATGTCTCTAGAATTGTTTTATGATACATAGTTTGTTTAATATGCTGGTTTGTTTAATATGCTGGTACATTTTTGTGTTAAAAAATGTAAAGTTTTGTTAAAAACAAGTTTTGTTTGATTTGGCTCATATTGAAACACCCATACAGTCGACTGCTGTTTACGTTTGGGCTCATACTCGTAAATCCACTATGTATCACCTGTCACGATGTCAGACGTGTTTCGAAGCACCGCGATCGTATTTTTGAGCATTTCTTTCAACCAATCGACACGAGCCTTTAATTTTGGATGACCTAAGCGAAATTCGTCTTGGAGTGAACTACAACCGCGATCGATTTCACCATACCATTGATAAATACTGGTCCTTGATTGAGCTTCATCGCCAAAAATTGAATTAAGTTCATCCATGCACTGATGCTGAGTTAATCCACGTCGAAAGTAGTAGAAAGTAATCGCACGAAAATGTTCACGATTTAATTCCATTTTTGGGCCAAGATGAATCGTTTAAGTCGCTGTACACAACACAAATAGTGCTTGTATGTCAAAACGTTCTGAGTACGTATAACCTCAAAACATCCAACTTTACGATAGAGCTGTCAATTGCGAGATAGCAACACCAGGGTTGCCAAATCCCGAAACATAAAAGGCAACCTTCGTAGTAATATATTCTAGCTCATTGGCCCTGCCTCACTTTGACGTACATGCGCACATAACTATAAGGGGCCAAAACTGCGTTTATTCTCTCTCGAATCTCGCAAGGCAACGTCTGTTCCGAGAAATTTGATAAATTTGAAACGCAGAGCACTGGCAATTAAGCTTTGCTGCCAGTCATAAGGTCTATATGATACGAGCATGCAGTCTCGTATTGAATGAAGAATAACAAAGAGGATATATTCCCCGATTGAAATACACGGAACACAGCGTTGGCTAAATGGCCGCAACCTAGGTCAGCGGACATAGTTAATGGCAACACCCATACTGCCTTACCTCCTTTACTGCAATAACTCAATTTTAATTAGACAATAGGCATCGTGAAAGGTATAGACACAGTTCATAGGACAACAAAATTTAAAATTGAAACTTATTAAAGAGCACCCAGGTTTCACAGAACCCATGAATGCACTGCTGGTTTGTCATAATATCTTTTTTCTTACATGAAACCTTTAAAAAAGATAAATTAAAACAATTTGATAATATAAAAATTATATTTTATGCAATAAAGTAATGAAACTTGGAAATACGTTCATTAAAATCCCAAAATGTGCCATTATCGGGCACAATTACCTGAAACGTGCAGTGTTCTGCAAAATAAAGTAAGTACTGAAATAACGTTCGTTTCATGATTCAAATTTCTGTAAAGGTTTCATACAATTTCAAGTTGGCAAAGAAAAAATGCAATTACATGGAAATCCAGTCTTTATTAATCACTAATCCGGTTTGCCATTCTCTTGGCCCATATTTCGTTTATGGCTTCTAATAATTTCTCTTGGATTTCTATGTTTACATTTATTCTTTTGGTTTACTAATTCTGTGTTTACTTTGTCTGGTCCCTTTTTTTGTCTTTGTCTCCTTCTCTAGCTCTTCCATTTGAATGTCTGGTGTGTTATTCCTTGTTTCTATTTGGACTTAATATTTCGGGAAATTATTGTGATCAAATGTACTTTCAGGTGTATTCCAATGCTGCAAATCTACGAATTCATAAACGCACGCATACTGGATTACGGCCATTTTTGTGTTCAGTATGTGGCACTGCTTTTGGAAAAAAATATACCCTTCAGTGCCATATGCGTCATCATACCAATGAACGACCTTTCTCCTGTGAAGATTGTGGAGCAGCATTTTTTCGTCGCAGTACCCTGGCCACACATCGACATCGTCATACAGGTAGGCAGCATTTTGTGCACGTATTTTAAGTAAACACATATAGCAGCGTGTAAACATTTCAAGTTGCACATTGTGACTTATTGTAATTTTATGATTTTTTTTTTCATACTGGCATTGATGATGGTAGGCAGAAAGTGGGTGATGTGCATTTTGATAAAAATAGTTTTCTGATTTGAATTCATTTCATTGACTTTCTGACTTTAAACATTAATAATTTACCCATGGATGCTGCAAATTTTGGATAACTATCAATGAGAAACATTCTTTTATGCCTTTTTTCCATTCGTTGGTTTTTCTCTTTTCTTCTTCGTTTTCTTGCCCTCTTTCTTTTCTTTCTTTCTTCTCTCCTTGAAATATGTTGTGAGAAGAAAATTGGTACAATTTTGGATGATATTTATTCCAGTGTTTATGCATAGATTAAAGAAAGGTAAAAGTAAATAGGTCATTAAAGTAAAATTAAATTACTTATTTGCAATTTTGAAACTCCATGTGTAAATGTTCTTTGCATTTTTTACTTTTTAAAAAAAGTTTTTAATGCTCATGATCACTTTGATTTTAAGTGTAAATAATACCATGTAATGAACATTCATTTGTTAGGTTCACAACCCCCATATAATTTAATTCAATTTTTATTTGTTCGTTGGGTATCTGCACATCAAAAGGATACCTGCTATGAATTCTAGCAAGTGGTTTGTCTATACTGCAGTGTCAGTCCCAAAGGATTGAATGCTTTCTATCAATTCTTTGTGAAAAGTTGGTTACATTTGTCACGTTACTCTCACATCAAAATGAAGAAGTACTCTGAAGCCTTTGAATCACCTATCTTCATTTTGACTTGTTCTGGAAATTGAAAGCATGCTCCCAGTTAGAATCATTTTTATTTATCGTTGCCATTGAATTTGTCAGAAGGTGCTGTTCTCACACATTGGTCAATAATCAATTCAGTCTTTCAATTTCTTCTGCAAATAACATTATTTCAGAAATTCTAAAAGATATAAACTTCTAATATGTAGGTACATATATAATTATAACATTCATATACATTAATGTGGTTTCAAAATGACTGCTACAGAAAATGAAATGTTGGCCTAGTTAGCCCAAGAATCCAGTTCCTAAAACTCTTGAAAGTTTACAAGCATGCAGATCAATTTACAACCCTCATTTGAAAAACAGATAAATAAAGGACTCAAATAGTAAATAAATAAAAAAAAAAGAAATAACTGACCCAAAGTTTACTGGAAGGACCTGCTATCTCTTCAGGCAAAACGAATAACAAATAATATACTTAACACTTCTCAGAAGGTGAAATTTATAATAATAATAATAATAATAATAATAATAATAATAATAATAATAATAATAATAATAATAATCATCATCATCATAATGAGATACTAAAAATGTGAGAAGCTAAAAATGACTTAATTTCTAAAATCATCAACAAAATTCTCTCACAATGTAAATATAGGGTCACAAAGGCTTTTTTCCTGCAAAGCACAATATTTGTCATAAAATATCTTGTATTTTTTCTCAAAAAATTAGATTATGTCCTGGAAAGCATCAAACACATTAAGGAAGAAAGATTGAAGAACACTGTTTCTCAAGAATTGTTAAAGAAAAGTAGGGTCAGGGCCTTAGAACTCTCGATCAGAACCAGGGGCAATGCTCAAGAGGCTTCTCTAGGAGGTGTTAGTGTCGCCGGATACAACTGCAGGTTAGGCTTGCCGACTTCTGCACATACAAATTGACTAATTTGTGAGAAATAAGAAAAGTGTCTTAAATGTTTAATATACAGAGTATAATAATGTAATACACAAATTAGAAAATTCTGAAGAAAGTGTGAACCTCACTGCTATCTTGTGTAACATACATTTATTTTGCGTTCTGCGAACTCGTGCAGAACATGCCACGTACGATTTAAGTATCGTTGGCAGTAGTTCATGTTTTAGTTTCTGTAAGGTGCTGCAGGAGAGTGCGCCACCATAATGGTCTCCACCATGTTATATTGGAGTTGAAAGGCCCCGTAAATGACCCCCTTTCGTGCCTTAGAGGTTTAAGGAAAGCCCAAGGAACTTCAGCAGTGCTGGAGGTACAGTCCATGGGATGACACTACCTACTTTCACCCATTGTAAATTATTTATTTTAATATTTGTCTCTGATTCATTGAGATGTGAATGTATTCAATATTCCTCAGTTTTTGTGAGTGCACCATCTTTGGATTTGCATCTGATGAAAAAGGTTTAATTTTCAGGAGTACGTCCCCATCGATGTAAACTTTGTGGCCAAGGATTCATTCAGAGTGCAAGTCTTGTGTACCATCTGCAGCACCATGAACATGCTACAGATCTACAACAGTCTACAGCTGCTCAAAAGACATCTAGAAGCCAAGTAACTCTTGGTAGAACTCCCAGTAGTTCATCATAGTTGCCAAGACCTTAGTTTTGTGCAGTGAGAAAATGAAATTTGATGTTTATTAAAAATGGTAATTTTACATTTCAAAAATCCTTTGGTCTCTGATTTGCAGTCACAAAAATAATGCCAGGTAGTAGTACAGAAATAAAAAATGTTAACTCCCATATGGACTATCACACCATCTCGAAAATTTTGACAGATTCTAAATGATCTTGGCTGTCCAGGTGATGCCGCGTCGAAGGTTGTGTTGTTGGCAACACAGCTATCAGCGCGGCGTCACCGGAACAGCCAAGATCATTTACATAACTCCGGCTGCGAAAGCCTACAACAGCAACAGGTTCTGTTTTCACATCAGATTCTAATACTTTGCTCTACTTAACCCAAGAGAAGCAGACTATTTCTGTCAGGGATAACTGTATGCTTCAGTTTTCTCAATCACTTAAAACATGTTTCCTCATGAGTAATATTTATCCAGAGGATGAAGGAAAAAAATTCTTGGACAAAATTACCATACCAAAAAGATATGTGGAGCAAGACATCAACATGTATTAATTCCACAGTTCATTTTAGTTTATTTTGAAGCAAAATTACTTCTCAAATCTTCTCTTTCTGTACATTAATTAGTTTTATAGTAACACCAAAATCGTTGTAGGCTCTCACACACCCACACACTATTTTATGTCGTCTAATACACATCTTTTTTTAGTTCTCATTGGTGTACTTTCTTTGTTCTATATCTACGCTCACTTCCGGAATTCTTGCCAATGCCTTCATGACTGGAACCTAAAACCACACCAGATTTATTCGTACCATTTCATGAGAAGAACACCTGACGTGCATGAGATTACATTTTCCATGAAACCTCTTCTGTGTTCTTTCTTTATTTTTTATCATTGGTAAAAGTTGGATGCATAAATCTGTCGTGCCTGAGTTCTAGATGCGTACATTTGTTTCTTGTTTAACCATTCAGACAACCAGAATGAACTAAAGTAGTTATCAAAATACAGTTTTGCAGTCTGTGGAATGGTGTTGGATGACTGCATAACAACTTGAGAGCCCTGTCGAAACTTTGATAATCGCACATCAAATTCAGTGGCAGAATCTTGATAGGTTATGAAGTCATAGATCATACCAGATATGCCACTCAATAAGGATATTTTAACACCCTATTTTGTGGGTTTGTTCTTTATATATTTTATGCCACTGAGCTGTCTTTTGAATGGTACCATCTGTTAGTGTATCCTATACACATTCTCGAGAATCGGCTGCATGCAAGATCTTATCGCATCATATAAAGGTCTTGACTTTCCAGAATCGGTCTTCAGAGTTCTTTTAGACAGTGTACAGCATTTCGTAATTTAAAGAACCTATTCAAAGTCATATTAGTTTAAATAAAGGGTACAGAAAACTTTGGTTCCCAGTACATTCTTACTCTTGGATATTTCAAGTTTCCCATAACTGTATGTATTCCAAACAATGTCTTCAGTTCATCTACATTTGTTGCTGGAAAGTGCGTCACATTGTTGAGCTTCGTGATTCGTTTGGTCAGCAATTTGATCAAGCAGCATAGTTGCTTGAGGCATAGTTGCCAAATAATTCTAGAGGATATGGAACGCTAGGAATGTCATCAATACCACTTCAGGAGGTGCCTTACAAAACTTACATTGCCCTGTAAAATAAGTTCCTGTATTCCATTCTACATCTTTCTTTTCTGTCAAACTGAGATGGAGAGTATGCAAGACTAGTCTCTGCTGCCGTGACACATGACAAAACTTTTCTCTCTCAAGTGGAAATTCTCCGGTTCCAAGTATTTCCTCTTCCATAAAAGTATCAATAGATTCATTGGTCTTGCTGTCGCATCTTGTGCGCATAAGTAATCTAAATTAAAAAAAGTAGAATTGCATGGAGCTCAAGCGTTGTTACAAGAGCAAAATGAAAGTAACCTTACTGTCAGCAGTTATACAGGCCTCGTGTTGGAATTCCTTGTCTTTGTCACTCATTCCTCGCCATTCGCAAACACTTGAGTATTTCATGTTCGCTAGAATTCCTGCGATTATGCGCCATGGCACGAGGCGTCACGGTGTTCACTAGAGGGGGTTTAGTTTACATTACTTTTTCATATGTATTGTATAGCTTACAACTATTCTTATTTCCTTATCTAAAAACAAACTCTTAACTACAGGAAGGGGTAGGTAGCTACAATCTGCGTGTAGTATTCACAATTGTTGGAGAATATGTTTAAGGAATGCATTGAAAGGGTATTGGTTTTTTATTCATGTTGGCGTATACTCTGTTGTAGTGGCTGACGTGTGGTATAGAGTTGATGTTTGAATAAAAGTTAGTGGGGAGATGGGCTATGTGTTTAATGATGGATTTTATATTCAATTCTTTTTGTAATTGTTTGTTGGATATAAACCATGGTGTGTGAATTGCTAATTGGAGAAATCTATTTTGTATTATTTGCAGTTTATTTATGGTTGTAGCTGATGACAGGATGTGCATATAACATTTCCATACAGGACGTGCATATAACATTAATGGTCTGATTATTGATTTATATAATGTGGCATTGTCTATTGATGGGCAGCTTTTGGAGTTTATTAGAGGTTTTAATTGCGCTATTTTGCATTTTGCTTGTTGAGTTTTATTTGTAATCTGGGAGTTCCAATTCAGTTTTGTATCTAAGTTTAGCCCAATGTATTTGACTGTTTGACAGTGACTTTCGTTGTATTGTGTTGTAAAAGGGAAGGAAGTGGAGACATGCTGTAGCGAGAATATTTTGGCAGTGGACTTTGTTGGGTTTAGTTTAATTTTCCATATTGTTGACCAGTTATCTATTCTGTCTAGATGTATTTTTTCACTAATTGTTTTAATTGATTGGCTGGATTTGTAAATTACTGTGTCGTCTGCAAATTGTGTTGTACGGGTCTGGTTTGTAGTCGGAATATCTGACGAGTAAATATTAAATAGAATTGGTGGAAGTGGAGAGCCTTGTGGTAGGCCTGGTTTTTACGACCTGGTATTTTACGGGGGTTAGAATTGTGCTTTTCTACTGTCACTGTGAATGTTCTATCTGTTAAAAAAATATTGTATGATGTTGACCAGGTAGAGTGGTGTTTGTATTGATTACAATTTGAATGTTAAGCCTTGGTGCCAAACTTTGTCAAAGGCTTGTGATATATCCAGGAAAATTGCTATATTGTGTGTTTTTTATCTTGGTATGCTGAATGAATGTGTTCAGTCTAAGAAGTTGGTGTGAAGTGGAGACTTGGTTAATAAAGCCAAACCGATGTTTGGGTATGTTTTCTGTTTTGTTTAAATAATTGTTTAGTCTGTTCTGAATTAATTTCTCTAGAATTTTTGACAGACTTGGCAATAAACTGATTGGTCTGTAACTTTCTGAGAAACTGTGATTTTTATTTGGCTTTGGAACAGAAATAATTTTTGTTTCCCAAAGTATTGGATAGTAACCAATTTTTAATATTGAGTTATAGATATTATTTGTGAAGGCTATTGTTGGTGTGTTTAGGTTTTATTATTGATATTATCATGTCCAGGGGCTTGTTTTGAGGGCATATTTTTTATTATATTCTTAATTTCGTTTGGTGATATGAATTTTATTTTTTGTGGGACATTGTAGTTCAGAGCAGAAAAAGTGTGCAATTTTTATATGTTCTGAGTGGGCTAGAGTGTTATTAAGTGTGAGCTAGTCAGGTAATGCATTGTCTTAGCCAGTAGGGGGACTTTTTTTTTCCAGTTGGCGTGCTTATCGGAGGAATGGTGCCCTGTTTTCTTAAAATTGTTTTTGTAAACTTCTAAAGTGAATTGTTGGTTGTACGTAGGCATTTAATTAAAGTTATAGGATGAGTGTCAGTGTTTAATTGCTTTTTTGGTTATTGGGTTTAGAATGTTAAGCTTTTTTTTAATTGGGGATTTCTATTGTTGTTCCAAGGTCTTCTTGTTCTGTTTCTGGTTTTTATTATGGTTATTATGGGGTCTAGCAATTTAGTATGTGTTTTTGGTTTATTATGTGCTATGTTATTTTGTTGCTGAACGATAGCACTGGTTATTATATTGTTTATTAATGTTGCTGAACTTTCTATTTCTAAAGACATTTTTAGATTCCTAAATTTGGGGGTTCTGATTATTATGATTTTCGTAAATTCTTTCCAGTTCACGTTGTTAGTATTTAATGTGGGTGTGGGTATATGTGGGGGCAGTTGTTGATGATTAGAGATTATTACTGGGCGGTGATCAGAGTTGTGTAGAACAGTGGAGTATAATGTAGTCTGGTCGTTAGTGATTGCAATGTCTAAAATGTCTGGGTGTTTATTTCAGTCGTATGAATAGTAGGTTGGTTCTGTAGGAGTTAATATGTGTAATTTTGAGTTTGTTGTTATTGTTTGTAAATGTTTGCCTGCGCAGTTTGTTGATCTGCATCCCCAGTTGGTGAAAGAATCTCCTAAGTGCACAGCAGGAGTGATTTGATTAAATAGCGCTGCGATGTTAGTGTCTTGAATTTTTTTATTCGGTGACTTGTATGCTGTTATAATAGTAAATTCTCTGTTGTTAAGAGGTAATTTTAAAGTGACTTGTTTCTAATCCCAGAGTGTTTGGTAAGTTTACTTTGCTGAAGGGCACTGATTTTTAAACAAGAATAAGGACACCTCCCCCATTAGCAATTATTTGGTCTGTTCTAATTAGATTGTAACCAGGCATATTGAATGTCGTATGGGATTTGAGGTGTATTTCCATTATGAATGCTATTTTGAATTCTTTTTCTTTGAGAAAGTAGATCAATTCATTTTTTTGAAATAGAGGTGATTATTGTGTACATGAATGAGTTTGATTCCTGTTATGGTTTCTATTTTATTGATTTATTACATGGGTGAAATTTGGAATATTGTTAGTGCTTGGTAAATTAGGGTACTTTTGGGAGTTTAGATTTAACTGATTATCATTTTTGGGTTTTGTTCTTGAACGTCCAATCTGATCATTTTGGAGGGGGATCTCTATGAGCTTTTTGTAGTATGAGCATTCTGCAGATCTCGTATCTGGTTTGTGCAAACCGTTACAGTTCTTACAAATAGGAGGGTTTTCTTCTTGGGGGCAATTTACAGAGTAATCATCTTTTGCGCAATAAATGCATGCTATATTATGATTGCAGTTATTTCTAGTATGCCCAAAATCTAGACATTGGAGGAATTGGATAGGATCCTTGGCTTTGCGCCTTTTTTCTGGCATGACACTCGGGTTACAAATTTTATTTATTTGTAGTATACTGTCTATTTTTTGGCTACCCTCGAACTCGGCTGCCACTACCGGAATGGGCATGTTGTCTTTATACAGTCTGGTCTCACTAATTAGCGATGGACACTTTCCCTTGAGATCTTGATGTATTTCTTCCTGAGTAATTGATGGATGAAGATTCTTAAAAACGATGGAATATTTTTTGTTAGCTGGGCTTTATAAGTGTGGAAGTGCATCATGATGTAAAAACTTATATGTAATTTACCTTCTCTAAAATATTCATAAAAGTTGCTGGCCTCTGTAGAGGCCATGGTGACCAGAAGGGTTAATTTTTATTTTCTACTTCATGGCGTGACAGTTTCTGTTTACTAATATTTGCCAATATTATTATTTATTTATTTATTTATTTATTTTATTTTATTTATTTATTTTTTCCTAGGAGGGGGAATTGCGTTACGCATGCCGGTGAGGCCGGGTATGTCGGACTCTCCAGTATGGCATACCGACTAAAACCTAACTCTCGTTTCTCGTGAGCCGTATCAACTGCGCGGAACCGTCGTTGAGACATTACTTCACGCAGAAGATTGGCTGGGAG